TTGCTTTTGCAAACCAGCGACGGCTGATAGGAGCTGCCTGACCATCTGCCCAGGGATGAGCCCAAGCACTGCCGGTGACCCTGGGCGGGGCACTGCACCCTGAGCACATGGACATTTAGAGAAACGTCCTGCAGGCTCTGGGCCGCGCTGCGAGCTCTCGGGCCTGGTCCACCTGCCGCACAGTGTAGCAGAGGATCGGGGCAGGCCTGACCTAAGCACAAGTCAGTGACATTGGGGGCAATTACTCTTCCTATATTAAGTACTGTTCTGGTTGGATCTGTGGGACTTGTTTGTATTATTGTCCAATAGAGTGCTCTGATCTTCAGATCAATTGCCAAGTGTTTTCCTTTTTATTTTCTGAGAGATCATGTTGTTGTGGAATGGAGGTGACAGATGAAATAAAGATTAGGCTATGTGGCCTGGCCAGTGTGGCTCAGTGGATTAAGCGTCGTCCTGTGGACTGAGAGGTGCCGGTTCCATTCCCCTGGTTGCAGGTTGGATCCCGCCTCGGTTGTGGCACATGTGGGAGGCACCAATTGATGTCTCTCTCTCTCTCTCTCCCACTCTCTCTAAAATCAATAGAAAAACATCCTGGGGTGAGGATTACCAAGAACAACAGGAAAGAACCTTCGTGGGTGGAAAGCATGTTGAAGACACCTGGGGAATGTGTGGTTGCCCAGGGACTTGGGGTCGGGGGAATTAAAATTTCTCAAAATACCAGTCAGGGAGCAAAGTTGGCCTTAAAGAGCCATGCAGTCGATATGTCAGCAACACCGAACTAATGCTGCCTGTAGGCAGGTTCCGCAGGCACTGTGGACACGGGTGTGGCTGCGCTCCGATAAGCTTTTTTGTTTTGGGGGGTTTTTGTTGGTGTGTTTTTTAGTTAACCCTCACCCAAGGATATTTTTCTATTTATCTTCACATAGCGTGGGGGAGAGAGGAAGAGAGAAACATGATATGAGAGATACACCAACCCTGCCAGTGTGGCTCAGTGGTTGACCGTCGACCCATGCACCAAGAGGACCCCGGTAAGATTCCCGGTCAGGGCACATGCCCAGGTTGTGGTCCCGATCCCCAGTGTGGTGCATGGAGGACAGTGTTCTCTCTCGTCGATGTTTCTCTCTCTCTCTCCCTTCCTCTCTCTCTAAAATCAAAAAAGGAAAAAGGAGAGAGAGAGATACATTGGTTGGTTTCCTCCCACATGCACCCTAACCAGGGTCAGACATGGAACCTGCAACCCAGGTACATGCCCTTGCCTGGGAACCGAACCTGAGACCCTAAGGTCCACAGGCCAATGCTCTAACCACTGAGCGGCAACAGCCAAGGACAATAAGCTTTATTGACAAAAACAAGGAGATAGCCCACAGGCCTGTTTGGTGGCCCGAGTGGGGACGTCCTCACGTGGCACGCGGTGGGTCGTCCTCCCCGCAGTTAAGGGGCGAGTTGCAGACTGAAAGCATGAAGGGGGTTTGGGCCCAACCTGACAGGAAGACACCAGGGCACCAGCCAGGGGACAATGGGCATCCGCAAGGAGAGCAGGCGGCTCTGAGGGGAACCAGCGTTTCTGTTGCGAGGGAAACAAACGTGAGGCAGAGGTCACCTGAGAGGGATCTGCGTGTCCGAGTGGCTTTTTGAGAGAAGATTGTGACACTGAGAACCTAGGAACGTGAGCAGCTGGGAGTCGCTGCTAAAACGCACATGCACACGAGAAGGCTGCCTGTTGAGAACATTGTAGAGCACATGTGGGAGGGAGGGTAGGTGACAGTGTGCGCGCGCGGTGTCCTGTGACAGCCCATGGGGCACTGGTGGCTGAGGTGCCCCGCACCAGGTATTAAGCTGAGATGCAGCCTGAGCCCTGCCAGGCGTCGGTCTCTGGGGCCCCCTGCTGGCTGCAGGCCGCACACCTCTCCCTGGCCAGGTCCCCTGAACCCTAAGCCCAGATGGAGCCCGGAGCCCTGCAGCCCAGTCCCTCAGTGGGCGACTGTCCACTCCAGCCCTCTGGACACAGAGGCCCTGGTCAGAGTCACACCCACACAACCCTTCCCAGCACCCACACTTGGCCAGAGGCTGGGCCCCAATTCTGACAGCTGACATGGGGCGGGGCTGGAGACTCGGCCTGCGGAGTAAACCAGCAAGGCAGGACATCCAGCGACCCGCAGGCCCCTCAAAACCTGGTGCTCGCCCTCTCGGGGGTGGGGGACCCTTAAAGGCAGCTCCCAGTGTGCAGTGGTGGCTACAGTGTTCTGCAACTTCAGCCCCCGGAGACACAGGCTTTGCGGCTGCCGTGTGTCCCCCGGATGCGCACAAGCCTGGGACAGACCCTCAGCCCCAGGGCTGCACACCGCACCCCGGCCTGCTGTCCTCCCTGCACTGTGACCATCGCCGGCGGAGCCAGGTCAGCCCTCCCACGACAGAAAACCACGTACGTTTCGTTTTACTGCCTTCTCGGCTTCTTTTAATTTGTAATTGATTTTTTAAAATTTATTTTTACTATTTTATGGTACTATTATTTCTAGTCAGTTGGAAGAAGAAATTGATTTCAACAAATTATCACGAAAATGGCTAAATACCTAAATGTACAAAAATAACTCAGATGTTTTCATGAGTGAAGCATAAAAACTATTTTAAAAATTGACAAATTAGGAACATATTTTAATAATTTTTAAGTGGGGACCACCTTAAGTAATAAAACCTGGACATTTTAGACCAGAAGATTGGTAGTTCTTGAAAATATCTGCCATATGCCCTGGCTGGTTTTGCTCAAGGTTTAGAGCCTCAGCCTGCGGACCGAAGAGTCCCAGGTTCGGTTCCTGCTAAGGGGACGTACCTCGGTTGTGGTTTGTCCCCGGCCCCAGTTGGTGTCGCGTGGGTGGCAGCCACTTGATGTGTCTCTCTCACATCGATGTTTCTCTCTCTCGTTTCCTCCTTCTCTCCCTCCCATTCTATCTAAAGATACATGCAAAAAAATGTATTCTCTGGGGAGGATAAAAATAAGTAAATATTTGCCATATATTTCACAAAGAATTGATATATCTGTATCCTAATCAAACATAATTTTGAAGAATAAAGGGCAAAATACATGGACAGGGCATTTTAAGAGATGGTTCACTGGGTTGTGGTACCCCCAGGCAGAGGGACACTATGCTGACGCTAAGATAAAGCAGCGCTACATATAGCATGACTGCCACTATGTACTTTTTATGAGAAAGCAGATACCAGGATGCATGCATCATCTCCTTTTCATAAGGAAGTGAAATAACATGTTCATGAGAGAGAAGAAAGGCCTCGGAGCGTCTGGTTGGTGTAGGGCTGAGGAGTTAATTTTCTGCTTTATACCTGGTTCTGTTATTCTAGGGGTTTCCTCCCGTCCCAAAAGATAGAGTCAAAATAATTTAGCAACACAGTCTAGTGCTTGCTTGTGTATCTCCCATCTGAAATGCTAGGGAGAGAGATCGTTTTATTTTCTTTCCTTTTCCTGTCACTTCACTTCCTTCACTGCCTTTTCTGTCATGAGCACTGTCCACAGCAGGAGGTAAATGACACTTAGTAGCAGGGCTGCTCTATTTTTGCTTGTTACAGCATGACAGTAAGACAGACACCTTCTCGCCCTGGCCGATTTGGCTCAGCGGTTGGAGCATCAGCCTGTGGTCCGGAGAGACCCGGGTTCAGTTCCTGCTGAGGGCATGTACCTCGGTTGCGGTTTGTCCCCGGCCCTGGTTGGTCGTGCGGGTGGCAGCCACACGATGGGTCCCTTTCATGTCGAGGTTTCTCTCTCTGTCTCTCTCCCTCCCGCTCTATCTGAACAAAAAATGGTAAAATGTCCTCGGGTGAGGATAAAAATAAATAAATAAATAAAGACAACTTCTCTTTGGCTTGGGTATCTTCCCTTTTCTTTCTCTACTTCTTTTTATCTTTCTCTACTTTTTTTTTTTGAATCCTCACCCAAGGACATCTTTCCATTTTTTGTTCAGATAGAGTGGGAGGGAGAGAGATGAAGAGAGAGAGAAACATCCATGTGAAAGGGACACATCAGGTGGCTGCCACCCACACAACCAACCAGGGCCAGGGATAAACTGCAACTGAGGTACGTGCCCTTAGCGGGAACTGAACCCGGGCCTCTCTGGTCCGCAGGCCGATGCAAAAACGCTGAGCCAAACTGGCCAGGGCTCCCTATTTGTTATTGATTTTTCTTAGAGAGAGGAATGGAGTGAGCGAGAGAAACACTGATGAGAGAAAACAATCGATTGGCACCTCCCACATGCCTCCACTGGGAATCAGGCCCACAACCTGGGCATGTGCCCTGACCAGGAATTGCACTGGTGACCTCTTGGTGCAGGGGTCCATGCCCAACCAGTGAGCCACACCAGCGGGCTCCTTTCTTGTTTTCAATAAGCAGAAGTCAGGCTCCAGGCCTAAGTAATGAAGCAGTGTAGCTGGCCTAGAGGCCCCTCCCCCTGACTCCCACCCACTGGTCCCAGCCCAAAGGCAACAGCACCACCTGCTGCTGGGGTGACCTCATTCCCAACTACGCTGGGCCCCGCCCTCTGGAGGCCCATGAGCACTGTCCCAGCCCCTGAGTCCTGGATTGCCTGTCCTCCCTGCGGCCCTCTGTCCAGCCAGCCCAACCTCCCGATCTCCCTGCCCACTCTTGCTGCCGTTCCTCTGGGAGCCTCCCCATCCCATCGGTCAGCCAGCTGAGGGATGCTGGTCAGCAGAGGCCACCCTAGGCCCGCTCAGCTGCTCCCTCAGGCCTGTGACTCCGAGCTCTGCACCTGCCCATCCCCTCACCTGTGCCAAGTGTCTCCTGGGCAAGAACTAAGACTGGCTGATGGCGAGGTGCCCGGCCCCTGACCATCAGAGGGCCAGCACTTCACCCTGCTCGGCCCCCTTCCTCACTCCAGAAGGGTCCGAAAACCTGGGCTTCTGAGAACAAGATGCTGCCCCCAGTTGCCCAGGGTGAAGGGCCGTGGGAACCATGGATGGGAACTCTGTGAGCCACGCCCATGAGAATTGCCATTTATTCCCGAAGTTGCCAAAATCATCACCAAGGATTCACCAAGGGTGTGAGGGGAGGAGGCTCAACACTGATCGAGGGCCAGTCAGGAGGACGGGACAGGGCGCGGCGGTCCCTCCTTTATAATGCCACGGAAAGGGCCCTCCTGTGGCCGCACCCTCCCCACCCCATGTCCAGTCTCGGGGTGGGGGGGAGAGGTGTAGTGTAGTGCCCCGGGGGCGGGGGGCTTCACATGCACTCCACAACACTGCGTCCCAGGGGGCAGCGGGGCAGGCCAGCCCCTCCCGCCCCGCTTATAGGAGGAAGGGGTTAGTGTTGGGGGCCGGCGGGCCCGGGGGCATGATGGGGGGCAGGCCTGGGCCCCCACCCAGAGGAGAGATGTATGTCGGTGGCGCCCCCGGGACCGGGGGCCCAGGGCTGAGCCGGAGCTGGTTCAGGGTGAGCGTCGCAGGGGGCGCAGGCTGGAAGGGGTTGGTGACGGAGGGGCCGGTGGCCGGAGCTCCTGCAAGAGAAGAGGACAGGCACACAGCAGAGTCAGGGGTCCGCCTGGCAGGGGTCGGCAGGGGCCCAGCATCCCTGCTCGGGAGGCCACACGCACCGCTGGGCAGGAAGGGGTTGGAGGCCTTGGCTCCTGGCAGCGTGGGGCCCGGCCGAGTCACCAGTGAGTCCAGGTCGACGAGGGCTGCGTTGGGCCCCAGGAACGACTCCGGTGTCTTCCGTGTGGGTGGCGTGGGGGTTGGGGCAGCCACAGGTGGGGGGCTCCCCACAGACTCAGCCAGAGAGCCCCCGACCCCGCTCATGTCGAAGGTCCCAGGGCTGTGGGCGGGCGCCTCCCCTGCGAGCAGCTGCAGTTCCCCTGAAGGAGCAGAGGGCTCATGGCAGAGGGCTCATGGCAGAGGGCTCGTGGCAGGGGGCTCGTGGCAGGGGGCTCGTGGCAGAGGGCTCGTGGCAGAGGGCTCGTGGCAGGGGGCTCGTGGCAGGGGGCTCGTGGCAGGGGGCTCATGCCAGGGCCCAGGGCCCAGGCCCCATACCAGGAGGGTCAAGGTGGAGGGGCAAAGGGAGAAGGAATGCCATGGGACAACCCCCGGAGCGGTGGCCGCTGGGTCCAAACAATGGACGGGTGAGAAACAGGCAGACGCTCAGGGCTGGAAGACAAGTCAGTCTGAGGTCTGTTTTTTAGAATCTGAGTTAAGAATCCTAGCTGATGCTGCAAATTTCACAAACGGGATGAACACATGGCCGGGAGGAATGCAGAAGCAGGAGGAGGAGTAATCTAGGGGAGTCCTGGATGAAGGGCCTGGAAGGACTGGGGTCTCGCCCCAACCCGCAAGGGGACCCCGCAGCCCCAAGTATTTCTGCTTCCAGAAAAGTCCACTTCACTGGAAGAGACGAAAAATAAAAGGGGCCCAAGGGGACCTCACGGATGGTGGGAAAACACACACCAGTGCCTCCTGGTAGGAGGCTCCGATGGGAGCCCCCATCTCCACAGAGACAAACCCAAACAGGGATTTCCCCAGAGCCAGCGCCAGCCCGACACCTCAGGAAGAGAGGCGCTGTCCACCCCGGGAGGCCCTGGCCTGGGCAGTGGGCAGGTGAGGAAGGGGGCGCTGTCCCTGGACCCACTGCATTGCTGCCCAGCATATCGGGAAGCACCTGGGGGCCAGGGAGGTCAGAGGCCAGCGTCTGGGGCAGCTCAGGAAAGGAACTTCTCTATGGTACTACTTTTGCAACTTGTCCCTCAGTCTGAAATTACCTCAAAACAAAATTAAAATGTCTTTTTAAAGACAGGGAGTATCAATTATACCTCAATAAAACTATTTTCATCCAGATGGGCCCGGGGCCTCCCCCAGGGCTGCACGCATCCTGCTCTCACCCCGCCCGGGCAGGCCTCACCTGTGCTGCTTCCCGAGGCCGGCAGGGCTGTGCGCAGTCGGTCAAAGTCAGAGAACTCGTCAGGCTCCGCATCGAAGCCGCCGGCCACTGCGGGGCACAGGGTCAGGATGTCCACTCCACTGCCCAGAGGCGGCCTCCTGCCCTCCCTCCTCAGGAACCAAGGGGACCTCTGCCCCTCGCCCAGTGCCCGCCCAGCACCCGCCCAGTACCTGCGGTGCCATTAGTGCTGGGCTTGGCAGGTGACCCCCCCCCAGGGGTCCGAGAAGGTTGGGGCTGGGGCCCAGGGATCGGAAGCTGGGGGCCCACTGGCCAGGGCCCCACCTGGGTGAGGAAGGAGGCATGTGAGGGGCTGGGACCCACCTGCAGCAGGTGGGGGTCTGTCCCCTCGAACCTGTGGCTCCTCACAAACACAAGCCCTTCCAGGCCCTCTCATCACCCCTCCACCCCAGGTCCAGCCCCCCTAGTGCCCTTCTCAGCCCCCGGGCATGCCCAGGACCTGGCACGGGCTGGCACTCACCATCTGAGCTCCCCCACGGGTCAGGTGTGGGCCCCTCTCCAGCTGCGGGGGCCTGGGTCCCACCCCATGGGTCAACTGGGGGCCCCGCAGGGGCAGCAGGCCTCCAGGGGTCCCCAGAGGCAGGTGTAGGGGCCGCACCACCCCAAGGATCAGCAGTCGGAGGGACAGGGGGTCCCCCCCAAGGATCCGAAGCAGGGGTGGTCGTGGGGATGGCAGCAGCCATGGGTGCTGGGCCTCCCCAGGGATCTGAGGACGTCGCAGGAGCTGGGGCCGTAAAGACATCAGCAAGATCCATGAGGGATGACTGCAGAGAAAGGGTGAGGGGTGAGCAAAGCAGAGAGGACCCAGGGGCAGAGAGAGGGACGTGGCCAACTCCCGGCCCTGCTACGTAATCACCGCTCCACCCACTCCCCCTTGCCTACCACAGCCCCTGAACAAATGAGGACAGTAGCCAAAGATGCCCCTGGCCTCCGAGAAACCCCACTAGTCAGAGCACCCCAGATCGGCACGCCTGGCCCGAGGCCCTGGCACAGGCCCCACGTCACTGCACACTCCAGGCTCCCCAGGGCAGCGCCCCCACAACTCTCCTGCACTCTGCGTGGGCCAGCTCGCCAGAGCCCGTCTCTGTGGATGTGGAGGTGACGCCCCACCTCCTCAGGACGAAGGGAGCAGTGGGAGGACCAGGATAGCACCGAGGCCCCAGGGCCCTGCTGCAATCTTTCTCCAGTGCCCTGCTGAGCCCCGTGGGGGCACTGGCAAGACCCTTTGGCCATGCCAGCCATGAGCTATCTATCTGCTGCCCCTCACTGGGATAGAGGCCGGTTCCCCTGGGAACCTGGACCAGCCTCATGACCTGCAGCCATGGTGGGAGGCCGGCCCTGCTGTGAAGACACTCAAGACGTCCCCAGTGTGCGGCTACAGAAAGAGGCCGAAGGACCAGGCCAGCTGGGATGCCTACCCATGCACCTAGGGCAGGGCACAGGCGGCAGGGCCCCACGCTCCCCTCCTCCACGCTCTGACCTCCCCACACTCCCCTCCTCCAGGCCCCACACTCACCTCCCCGCACTCACCTCCTCCTGACCCCCCGTCTCCCGCTTGCTCTCCTCGATGGCCATCTGCAGCCTCAGGTCATCCCCACGTCGAATCCGCTCCTCCTGTTGGGGCCACAAAGGCAGGTGGCAGGGAATGGTCAGAGTCTGAGCGACTGGACAGCCCAAGAACCCTCCCTCCCAGACAAAGGTGACCGAAAATTAAAATGGGATGCGGACGAGGTATGGGATGGGGTGGACACAGGGTCGCAGGGAAGGCGGGCGAGGATGCTGCTCTGCCAGTTTGGGAAGCGCAGGTTTGCCCTGGGGGTGGCGAGGGCCTGCCTGCTGCACGTAGTGGTGTCACCGGGCTCCATCCCGCACCAGGTCTACAGCCATAAGTGCTGCAGTGTCAAATGGTCAACTAGCAGCAGGGAGGTGGGGTGGGGCCCTGCAGGAAGATTCAAAGAGGGAGACCTGGGAAGGGTCCCAGAAGAGCCTGCGGGGCGGGGAGACTGCTCTGACCTTATCGTGCTCCTCACGGCTCAAACTAAGGGCCAGCTGGAGCTGGACGTCATCCTCAGGGCCGCAGGACGGGGGCTGGGGGAGAGAGAGTGTGAGGGGACGGGGTGGGGGAGGCAGGCAGAGAGGGGGGGGGAGGGGTCGGGGGGCAGAGACAGAGAAAGAGCCAGAGCCAGAAGTAAACAGATGGAAACAGAGTCAGGGTTAGACAGAGCAAAAGACACAGAGAAATAGTCCCCAAACTGGAAAGAGGCAGGCAGAGCCCAGGGCCGGAGTAGGACAAGCATCCAGGGAGGGGAGGGGAGACCCAGGACAGGATGGAGAACAGGGCCGAGGGTGAGCAGACAGAGCAGGCCTCTGAGACAGGGCTGGTGGAGGGTGAGGCATGGAGATGGGATGGCAGAACAAAGATCAAACCCTGCTGTGGCCACGCCCACCCCACACCCACCAGGCCTTGGGGTACCTGGTCAGCCTCCTCCTTGCTCATGGCCAAGGCCAGCTGGAGCTGCAGCTCCTCCTCCCCGCTGCTCTGCGGCCAGGCCTGCTCGGCCTCAGGTGGGGCCCCTGAGCCCACTGCTGCCGAGGAGGCTGGGGGGGGGGGTTTGTCAGTGAGACACAGAGAAAACAGGGGAGCCCCAGAGCTCAACCTCCTGCTTCTAGCCTGACAGCCCCCAAGACCCTATCTGGGACCCAGACACCAGGTTCCCTAGGAGTGGGGGAGGGGACTGTGCGCTGAGCTTACCCACCCACACCCAGGAGGAAAGGTCAGGAAAGGACAGCCCTGCAATGAACAGGGAGGAGACTTGGGGAATCTGAGCCTGCGACCTGGGTCCTGCAGCATGTGGGGCCTGTCAAAGGGCTTCCTCCCCACCCCAGCTGGGAGAGCTCCGGGCAGGCCCAGGATGGGGAGACCCCCCCCACCCCGCTGGGAGAGCTCCGGGCAGGCCCAGGATGGGGAGACCCCACAACCCCGCTGGGAGAGCTCCGGGCAGGCTCAGGATGGGGAGATCGCCCCAACCCCGCTGGGAGAGCTCCCGGCAGGCCCAGGATGGGGAGACCAAGGCCTCGGAGTCCCGAGCTACAAGTAGCTCTGGCAGGCCCATGGGCATTAGGGAGAACAGCACCTGCCTCCCGGCCCCACCCTGGGCAGCAGCCCAAGTCATGAATAAAGAAAGGAGGGGCTGAGGCAAGTGGACTCTAGTGAGCTGACCAGGCCCCACCCTGCACCTCCAGCAGCCATGGCCCTGCGGGCAGCCACGCCCGCCCGGATCTCAGAGCTCCCTGAGGGCAGCAGCCCCAAGGCTGGGGTCAGCAACCAGGCCACAGCCACACTGCCCAGGCCTGGTCAGCTCATGAGCCAAGAAAGGGTTTCACATTTTTAAGTAGTTTGGGTAGGGGGGGAAATAATCAAAAGATAAGCAAGTTCTCAAGATGTGAGAAAAGAACCCCAAATGGAAACCGCTGGGTCTAAGATAAGGCCGGGGGCAGAGACCAGCTCACACAGGAGGAGGCAGCTCATGAGGGCAAAGTGGAAACAGGCCACCCACCACCTGTCCTGCCCCCAGAGAACACCAAGAACCCAGCTCTGGAGGGCCCTCGGAGAGAGCACAGCTCCCCACACCGCCCTCTGCCAGGAACGCCTTCCCCCTGACTGACGTCCACATGGGTACTGGACAGTGAGATGCGACCCGTCCGAGCAGAACGCCTGGCTCACCCCCAACACGCCAGACTCCTACGGAGGAGCAAGGGGATCACGGGTTCCCCTTTGGCATCCGATCTGTCCCGAAGGCCCAGGAGCTCGGCCTCGTCAACGCTCTGCATCCTGTTGCCCTTGCCCGAAAGACACCACCTCCCATCACCTGTAACCCTGCACCATCCGTCTCCTAGTGTCCCTGGACCCCATCCCCTGCCAGGCCCATGCCCTGGCGACACGACTGGAATCTGTGCTGTGCTGTCACTGCAGTGACACCATAACCGCTGGGGCGCTTGCAGTGGGGACACTCACCCGCCTGGGATGTGCCGCCTTTCCCAGCACCTCTCAGACCCAAGTACCAGGCTGTCAAGCTGCAAGTTTTCTGACAGCAGAGTGGCCTTATGATGGGGGACACACTCAGACTCCCTAGTGCCTCCGATTCCAATGCTGGTCACCACCCCTGAACAAGCTGCCCGCCACTACCAACATCGTCTTTTTTTTTAATCCTCATGCAAGGATACTTTCCCACTTATAATTTTAGACAGAAAGGAAGGGAGGGAAAGAGAAAGAGGGAGGGGGAGAAGAAGGGAGAAGAACATTGATGTGAGAGAGACACACTGACTGGCTGCCTCCCACATGACCCTAACCAGGGCCAGGGATCGACCTCACAACCGAGGTACATGCCCTTGACTAGGAATCAAACCCGAGACTCTTTGGCCTACAGGCCGGCGCTCTAACCACAGAACAACATTGTCCAAGACAACCACCAACTTCTTCAACCTTAACAGCAGGCTCCGCCCCTGCAGCTCCCCAACCACGCTCCCCACCCTGCTACCTGCTGCTCACATAGCTGCCCTCCCCAAGGGCGTCCCTAACTGTGGGGCTTGGGCAGCTCCTCCAACGGCACTCTCTCCCTTGGGCACGGACCACTGCAGGTGCACCCATCTAGCAGCTCCAGGGCCCAGGCTGAGGGCAGACACCTGGGCCCTCGGGGCGCTCAGTGAATGTGCAGGTGAATGAAGGGAGCTTGCATCCCAGGGAGGAGGGCAAGGAGGCAGCAGGGATGAGGCACCAGGGCAAAAAAACCCAGCTCCTCACCCAAAGGACACAGGCAGAACATGGCAGGGAGGGGCAGGGAGGGACAGGGAGGAAGAGGCACGAGCCCAGGGGCCTCACCCGTGGCAGTCTGCGCCAGCTTCTCCTTGGTCTTGAGCGCGTGGGCACGCTCCTCTCGCAGCCTGTCCTCATCACGCAGAAGGGCCACCAGCTGCTTGGCCTTCTCACGCACGTTCACGCCCTGGTCCTTGCCATCACGGTCCACGTACTGGAAGTCCTTCAGCGTCTGGACCGCGTACATGTTCTCCTTGCACTGCTGTGACACGCGCTCCGAGCCCGTCTTGATGAGGTACTCCATCAGTGTCATGGCCTGTGGGGGCAGGACACACGCACCACTGTGTCCCCCCACCAGCCCGTGTGGCCCACATGGCACAGCCCTGGGAAGGGAGGCAGCGCTGACCCAAGTACCGCCCAAGGAGCCCTGACCACATGTTCTGAGTGACAGCAGCACCCAGGAGCACAGCATGACCCCTACTTGTAGGAAGGGTGGGAACAAGTGGCCCCACAGAGAAGCAGTGGAGTGACCAATGGCAGGCGACATGGGGGTGATGACCAGGGCACAGGGTTTCCGCCTGGGGTCATGAAAACATTCTGGAGCTGGACAGTGGGTACACAGAACTGTGAATGCACTTCGCGTCCCCAAACTCGACTTCAACGGGGTCAACGCACGGCCTGAGATCTGCATGCATCTCTGTAAGAAGACCTGAGCAGGGACAAGCAGCCGCAGTCACCCAACCCCCGGGCATCGCAGAGGCCTGGACCCAGCAGCTTCTGTGAAACGCAAATCTGAAGAAATACGGTGGAAATAGACAACTGCCCCATCCAGCGCCAGACCCACGGGCAGCAGTCCGACCAGGGCCAGACCTCGTTCTCCACCGCCCCACGCCAGTCTCCTCTACCTCCCTGCACCAGGCCAACCAGCACCAGACCAACCGGCATCGGCCGACCAGGGCCAGACCGCACTCTCCACTGCCCAGCACCAGACCACCTGGAGCCAGGCTGCGTCTCTCGTCGGTTGGTTTGAAACAGCCACCACAAATGTGAATCTTCACGACAGGTTGGGAGGGAGGCCTGGATTCTCCAGGCGGACACAAAGCGAGAATAAGAGAGCAGGGAGCAGGGACAGCCTTTGGTGCCTCCTGCATTTGATGATTTGACAATAAATTCTTTTCAACAAAAGGCACACCTTAGAATTTGCAGTAGATTCCAGGGGCTTCCCAGATCCCCCCAGGAAACAGTGGAAGGAGGGGCCAGCACTTGGGGCAAGCCCTCTGAGCCACTGTGAGCCTGCCAGGGCGCCCAGCATAGGTCACCCACACGTCCCCAACCTTCGGGGAGCCAGACCTGAGTCTGGCACGACTTTCCAAAGGTGTCTGCAGTATTTACTCCTGTAATCAGAGGTTAGTCTTTAACTGGCCTCGAGGTGTCTGCCCGCTGGAGGAGAGCGAAAGGGCGAGGCACACCCACAGGGGAGGCGGGCTCCACAACCCTGGCCAGCCCTGCTGCACACGTGTAACAGCCCCCAGGCAGAGGGCACGCCAATCACGCGATATGGGGCCAACAAACACCAGATTAACAGCCTCACCTCAGTCCAGGGAGGGTCCTGTGGGAAACGAATCCTAGAAATTTTCATTTTCAGGACTCTGGGGACTTTGGAATTGTGGTAAATAAAAAGATGGTGAACCCGGAAATAACCCTAACACAGACCATGGGTGAGATGCTCACGGGTGAACCGCCAGGTGGTCACATGAATGGCTGCCACACCAGTCAACTTCCCAGACACAATGAACCGAGAGCAAAGAAAGCTGACCTGAGAAACTGTAACAAAGTTCTAGAACAATCTCAGCAGACAGAAGGCAGGCCTGGTGGCTCTGGGATGGGAAGCGCCCTCCCCCGCCCTGGGCGGTGGCCATGCAGGTGTGTACACCTGCAGAAGCGAATCAGGCTGCACACTCCCGATGCAGGCCTCAACGAAACATGAAAAGGTCCGGCCCGGCCCATGTGGCTCAGTGGTCGAGCATCGACCCTGCACCAAGAGGTCGCCAGCTCGATTCCTGGTCAGGGCACATGCCCAGGTTGTGGGCCAAACCTCCAGTGGGGGGCGTGCAGGAGGCGGCCAATCAACATTCTATCTCATCAATGTTTGTCTATCTCGTCCTCTCTAAAAATAAATACAGAAAAAGAAATTTCTTTCGTTTAAATAAATAAAAGTGGGCAACTAGATAGCCCAATAGTCCCTATTAATTCTCAGTCCATGGGACAACGTTCAATCCACTGGGCCACACCAGCTGGGCTGTCCCTATTCATTCTCAAAGCAGCCTGGTCGCCCTGGCTGGTTTGGCTCAGCAGTTAAGAGCGTTGGCCCACAGTCCAGAGAGTCCCTGGTTTGGTTCCCGCTAAGGGCATGTACCTCGGTTGCAGTTTGTCCCCAGTCCCCGTTGGGGTCATGTGGGTGGCAACCAATCGGTGTGTCTCTCTCACATCGATGTTTCTCTCTCTTCCTCCCTCTCTCAGGGAGCTGAGCCACAAGGAACCGAGACGCAGGAAACAGGCCTCCAGTCCCTGTTCTGTGAGCAATGTGACCCCTCTGGGCCTCAGTCTCATCTCGGAAATGAGGGAACCAGCCCTGTCTCTGCAGGACAGAGAACCCAGCCAGTGCGGGCCACGTCCACGAGGCCGAGGCTCACCGTCCTGCCCACCACCACACACGGAGCAAGCCCACAAAGGCCCACAACCGACGGTTACTGAAAAAATGGCAACAAGAGGCCCCACCAACACTCCTGGGCCGGACCCTCACACAGAGAGAGGTCCAGGGACTGGCCCGAAGCCACCCACCCCAGCCCCTGTCCTTGGCCACTTCTTTACCCATGGCAAGGGGGGACACAGGCCTCCAGAGCAGCAAACGGGAGCCCAGCAACTGAGCACCCGTTAGACACATCCTCTGTGCCCAAAGCCTGTGGCCCGTCTGGTCACTGGATAAGGGCGCATGCATGTATCACTGGGGTGAGGAAAAGGGCTACTCCTGTGGATAGCACTTTGGCCACGTTGATCAAAATGACACACACACACACGTCCTTCGGCCCAGAAATTCCAATTCCAAAAAATGGCAAACACAAGGATATTTACAGCAAACATGTTTGTCACAACTGGTCATGTCACTTACAACCAGCCAGCACAACAGATTGTTACACAGTTAAAAAAAAAAAAAAAAAAAAAGGGACAAATCTTTTATGTCCCGTTGGGGACTCATCTCTGGGACGAAGTCTTATTTTCTTATTTAAAAGTGAGTGTAGCCCTGGCCGGTTTGTCTCGGTGGTTAGAGTGTCAGCCAGCGGACCAGAGAGTCCCGGGTTTGGTTCCCACTAAGGGCACATACCTCGGTTGCAGTTTGTCCCTGGCCCTGGTTGGGGTTGTGCAGTGGCAACCACTCAATGTGTCTCTCTCACATCGATGTTTCTCTCTCTCTCTTCCTCCCTCTCTCCCTCCTGCTCTTAAGATAAATGCAAAGGTATCCTTGGGTGAGGATTAACAGAAAAAAAACACAAAACCCCAGAACGTTACGTTTATGGCCACCGTCAAACGAGAGAGAAACTACAGAAAGCTGTGGACTCCAGCTCCTGCGGGAAACGTGGGAGGTCGGCCGCAACCTGTCTGGAGCACTGGCCGTCCGTACTCTGGCCCAACGCCCGCCCACAGGGTCTTTGTGTGATGCCCAGCCTGGTGGGCACTGACCTTGTAGACGTGCCGCCAGTTCTTGCCGTGGTCATTGAGCCGCTTCCAGATCATGCTCATGATCTCCGAGAAGGCGACGACATTGTAGGTGAGGTCGGCGATCTCGGACATAAGTGAGCTGGATGGACCCCAGGGGTCGTTGCTCGTGGCCTCACGGACCTTGATCTCGGCCTCTGAGTAGTTGTGGACAATGTTTTTCATCTGGCGCCGCAGAGACGACGTCGACATGGTGGCAGGTGGTGATGTGGGGGGCAGGCCCCCTGGGTCGTGGACAGAGGGGGCAACTCGAGAAGGGAGGCCGTGGCAGGGGCTGGCAAATCACCGCATCTGAGGAGAGAAGAGGACCTTGAAAACAAGCGGGGCCTAGGCCACCCAGCCCGAACCCCACTCTCATGAGGCCCCCACTGCCAGCCAAGTTAAGGACATGGTCCCAACAGTGACCTAGGAGGCTCTGGCTCTTGTCACCCTCCATTTCAGTCACGCTGTCCATTTCAGTTCCTCAAACGTGCCCGGCTCCTTCCTGCTCAGAGCCCCTGCTCAGCGAGGCAGAGCATGCAGTGACAGGCCACGGCCTGGGGGCACACCCCAGCTCAGCATTTCCTGGCCCAGACACCTGGGTGGACTGAGAACTGCACCTCCGTATTACAATGTTCTCCTCTGTAAAATAGGGCTCCTGTGGGTAACTCAGGAAGCTGAGGACCCAGGAGCAGGAAGCAGGCTACCCTCTTGGGCGGTGTCATGAGCTGCTCACCCTGCTCTCCCTCTCCCTAGTCACCAGGTCACCCCACTCGCTCTAAGGGTGCCACTTAAGCTTCCCAAATCTTAACACCAAGGTCTATGTTTCGGGGGGGGGGAGGCTCACAGGTACAGCTTCAGCCTGGTGGTTCTATTCATTTGTTTAATTCTGTGGCTAAGGCCAACCCACCAGCCCCATGGGGCAGGGACCACATTTGTCTGGACACAGCTTTTCCCATCAGAGGAGCTGGCCCGGAAGAGTCTTTCAATACACTGGAAGGAAGGGACGGGGAGGGCAGGAAACACCTCAGGAGCAGGGTGGAGGAGGCAGAATCCAAGGCAGACACAAGGACACACACAGAGAAGGCGAGGAAGGGAGTAGAGAGGCGGAGGCTCAGGGAAGGAGAGATAAGGAATAGCACAGTCCTGGGCTGTGTCCCAGCTGGGCCTAGTCCATTATCTCATTTAACACTTCAGAGCAGCTGTGTTCTCACAGATGCCTTGGGCCCATGGAGGTTAAATATTTCAGCCAAGGTCATCTGCTAGGCCTAACAGTAGACTCGACCCCAGGCCAGCCTGGGCTCCAGAAGTTAATATTTCTTTTTAGAGAGAGAGAGGGAAGGAGAGAGAAATAGAAACATCGATGTGAGAGAGATACATCAATGGGCTGCCTCCTGCACGCCCCCTACTGGGGATTGAGCCTGAAACCCGGGCACGTGCCCCCACCGGGAATGGAACTGGGACCTCTCAGTCCATGGGATGACACTCAATCCACTGAGCCACATCAGCCAAGCCAGAAGTTATAGTTTCAATTTGAGACGAGGGTGATGGGAAAAATCAGAAGAGCGAGAATCAGGCAAATGGGATGATCCCAGCAAGCACTCACCAGCGCTGACCCTGAGCCCCAAGCTTCTCTAAGTGCTGGACACACAGTAACTCAATCCTCACAAACCTGTGATTCACAGGCTCCTAACCAGGGAGGACACTGAGGCACAGACAGGTTGACTCCCTTGCCCCGGACACAAACCTCAGCCGGGAGCAGCCTGGCTCCAGAGCAGCCTCTGACCACCACCACCCATGTCCTGTCCAACTGGCCACGATGGACACCTGCTGAGCCCTCCCAAGCTCTGAGGCCCCAGCACTTGGGGAGAAATGGGAACTGTTGCAGAAATCGCCACACACACACACTTGGGCAAGAAATGATGTGAGAAGACTAACAGAAAAGGGAGAGAAGCACAGAGAAAGCAGGCAAAGGAGCTACCCAGAGACGCGGTGACACAGGCGGACACAACCAGACACCGGTACAGAGCGTGGCGAGGCAGCGAGGCAGGAAGACAAAGAGAAAATCGGAAAGCAGCAGTAACCTGCGACTGAGAAATTCGAGGCAAGGAAAATGGAACATAACATAACGGAGAGAAGAGAAAATCTGGGTCCAAATCCTGGCCGTCGGCTCCCAGCAACCTCAGCTGTGACAGGGAGGAAGGAATCTCTACCTGGCGGGCTTGCTGATGAAACACAGTGCTTGGCCCTGTGCCCCACTGACAGTTGGGGCTCAGTGACATCGGCTTTCAACAGAGAAAACCCAAATACTTTCCACAGAGTAGCATGAGAAGAGGAACCGTCTCATCCGTGAGTTTACAATGAGGTGCACTGGAAAAATGCACACCTAGCTCGTGGTCGCTAAGATCCCACAGGCACTGCCTAGCATGAGACTAGGCTTTTCAAAAAGTTCAAGGGAATCATTCCATTAAACAGGACGGAGAGCAGGGCAAAATTCTCCAGGGGGCGGGGGGGGGGCCCTCAAAAGGCCGACACCCCACACTGCAGGGCAGAAAACCCGTGACAGGAGACACAGGAATCCTGGCGGTGCAACACACACGCTCTACCTGCACGGAGAGTGTAGGGCTAGCCACCAGCATCCCCCTCCGGCAAAACGCACAGCGGCCCCAGGAGCAGCACCCGCGAACACCCCACTGTTAAAGGCTGGGGCGCTGCGATATAGAGATAAGAGAAGCCACCCCAGACCTCGCAGGCGAGCAAGCAGCGGGCCCGATCCCAGAGCCCGGATGTCAGCACCGGACTCCGGAGCCTGGGGGAGGGGCGGGCCCGAGCCCAAGCCGCGGACCCGCGGAGAGGGGCTGGCGGGGGGAGGGGCGGGGCGGGGAGGGGACAGGGCAACAGCGAGGTGGTAGAGAGACACCGGTGAACAGAGAACACGGACGCCCAGAGCGAGACGCGAACAGGAATCGTGACCAGCAGACACGCACAGACGCACGGGGACAGTGCTTTGTAAAAACGGCGCAACAGACACGGGCACGGGCAAGGCCGAGGCGCTGACAGACGCCGGAGAAGGAGACGCGGGCGGCGCAGGCCCACTCGGCGCAGGGACACGAAGGCCGCGGAGGCGACCGGGGCCGGCCGACGCCGAGCCCCGGCCCGCGCCCGGCCCGCGCTCACCTCGGCCCCCTCACGCCGGGCTCCGGGGGGTCATGGCGGGCAGCCCCCTGCCCCCGCTCGGCCTCGGTGTCGCGGGGCGCGCGCCGAGCCGCGGGCAGCGGAGGCGGAAGCGCGCTCGGGCGGACGCGCGGACGCGCGGAGGGCCGCACGACGACGGCCCCGCCGCCCCGGCGCCCGGGAGGGGCGCGGAGAGCCAGGCGGGGAAGGGGAGCCGCCAAGCGGACGGGAAGCAACCGAAAGAGGCGACGGACCGGAAGCGGAAGTGGACTCAGGCCCCGCCCGACGCCGACTGCGGCAAGCCTGCGCAGCAGCGGCTTCCTCAGCCCGCCCCGGCAGAGCGTCACTTCCGGCGAGCGAGGCGCCGTGAACAGGCATCGCCTGCCTCATTTCCGCCCGCCGTCCCCAGACACCGGGGGCGCGTACTGAGATGTTGGGGCGCCGCGCCGTCCCCACCCTGTCACCGCCGCCGTGCCAGTCCCTTCCCCCCTCCGTCCCCGGGCTGGCACCGGAGCCCACGCGGACCGGACCTTTGCACTCTCCTCGCGCGGCCGCGCCCCGCGCCCCGCGCTCCACCGATAAGGAGGGCGCGTCCCTGATGAGAGCGAAGGGCACCAGGGCGCCGGTGCTGGGGTCAGCCGGACTTTCTGGGGTAGAGAATCGACCTGGGACCGTGGGAACACCCTGGGGTTACACACACGAGACAGAGCAGCTCCATAAAGTAAAATACAACAAAATGTTTAATGAGCAAATTCGTCTTAGCAAATATGAAACCGCCACAGAGAGTAGGAGAGGGGCAGGGGCCAGGGGGTCCGGGGAGACTAGGGGAGAGAACCAACTACGTAAGAAACCAAGGGAGGACTAGAGGCCGAAGGACTGGAGCTGCGGTCCTGGAAAGGGAGAGGGCAGGGCAAAGGGCCGGACAACAAAATTCAAAATAGTTTGGCCAAAAAATATAAACACGCTGTTCCTACAGTGGAAAAGGGGAGAAGGGGGAGGGGGGTATAAGGGAAGAGAGGCTGTTTTGGGGAGGGGCTGTGGGGTCCTACCCCGCCCTGCTGTGCACCCCTCCCCATCCCGACCCCTTCCCTCTGTGTCTGTGGGTGCGTGTGTCTGTATGGGCCGTGTGCACACTTCCCCAGTTCCCGCCCCACCCAAACCCCACCCCCCCACCCTTAATTGCTGCCATTCCAGTTGCTGCCGGCTGTCATTCGGCTGTCACTCCTCTGCCCATCGTGTTCGGAGGGGGAAAAGAGGGGGCGATGGGGGAGAAGCCCCCAGCCAGCCCGGCCCCCGCCCACCCCTGCCGCCTCTACCAGAAGTCCCGGCGGTGGTAAGAGTCGGGGTCACAGTATTTTGTGACAACCACTCTGTTGGCGAACTTGCGACCTGTCAGGCCCTGCATGGCTTTCTGGCAGTCAAACACAGAGGTGAATTCCACGAAGATCTGTAGAACAAGAGGCAGGTTGTAAAGGCCAGGGGACCTCTTGTTGCCAAGGACGAGGTAGCTGGCTCACTCATAGCAACCAGCCAGCATCCACCCAAACTCAGAACTCAAGGAGGGAGGGAGGGGCTCACCGCAGATTTGAGGGCATTTACCCAAACATCCTCCAGAACCCCAGGATCAAAGAGCAGGAGAGCACAGAGTAGAGCCAGGCCACAGGGGAAGAGGTCACTTGTGTTGTATCCTCTGCAACAGGTGGGCCCCAGCCACCCCAAGAGCCACGTTCTCTCCAGACAATGGATGAAGTAAGGGAAGCTCAGAAATTAGGATTCAAACACAGGTTGATGCAGAAGAAAAAGCTGAACCTTGATCTATTCAGATATCTATCTTGCTTGAACCACAGGTACATGGGGATTCCAGAATGCTCTATTGCGCTTCAACTAAAATGGCTTGCAAAAGAGTTTGGGGGGCAGGGGTGATGCAGATCTCAACCAACCAGGGTGAATGTGTCCCCAGACTACACATGATAATGTCTAGAGAGGTTTTTTTGGTTGTCACAAAGGGGGTGTGGGCTCCCAGCATCTGGTGGGTAGAGGCTGGGGATGGGGCTAAACTTCTAACAATGCACAGCAGACCCCAAAACGAGCTACCTAAGTGTCTCAGGTGAAACAATATCTGCTCTAAATTATTTCAGTAGAAAAAGAGGGTGGGACAAGAAGCTGAATATAGAATTTACGAGTAACAAGATGTTGGTAACTTGAAGCTAAGCCTTCTAACACTGCTATATTTGCTGTAACACAACCTAAATAACCTATTACTCATCACTATGACGACTTCTACTTTTACGTATGTTTGAAAAGAACAGAAATCAAGTTTAAAAACAAAACAGGCTGATCCCAGAGACCAGGCAGGATCTTTCCATTCATTTCTCTGGTACTTTCTAAGTCCCTACATGGGCCAGGCTCCACTCTAATGCCGACGACAGCACTGAACACTGACTCAACTCCTCCCTGTCCCCAAATACACCAAAGCACTCTTCCTGCCCTGGTGGCTCTGCCCTCCCTGCTGCCAATAGCAGGGCATTCTCAGGTGCTTAAGGCCACATCTTGACCTTCCTATCCAAAAACAGAGCCCAGGGCCTGCCCATCCCACACAGGTTAGTACATCAACAGGATAACTGTCCTGCTTGAACACAGGAGAGGCACCCCCCAGATTGACTGGGTGAGTGTACAGTGCTGGAGGTGACGTGACTCACTGGGCTCGGAGATCAGGCTATGAGAATCTGAAACCTGACCACATAGCCTGTATCCTGGGGAAGGGGCCCAGGGAGCTGCTACGAGAATTCAGAGGTAACACAGGTGAGCTTAGCAGTCCTGACACCCAGGAGAGTAAGTGGTTTGTGATGGTTGTGACTATTTTTAGCACTTTTCCCCACTCCACAAACAAGGCCAAACCACTTGCACACAACATACAGTCACGTGACAGCCAATTTCCAAACCCAGGTTCTGGGCCACAGTAGCCCTGCAGCCTCAGCACAGGCCCTGGGTCCCCAGAGCCAAAGTAGTGAGTGTGCTGTGTGTGAGAGACAGAGAGAGAGGGGCATAGGGGAGAGGGGAGACCCACACACCTTTCCACAGCCCGGCACCTCGACGCCATCCACGGGCCGGGGGATCTCAATGGACTTGACCAGCCCATACTTGCTGCACTCGTCCCGCACGTCCTCCACGATCTCCTCGTACTCCTCATCATCCAGCAGCTCCTCGGGCAGCACCATGTTCATGAGGCACAGGACCTCAGTTGGGTGGCCGCCCATCTGCACCTGGGAGCTCATCAGGCCCGGCACTTGCAGGGTCACGGGGGTCTGGTTTATGGTGCTCTGTGGGGCAAGTGGTAAGGGATGTCACAGGGCTGCCCTCCCTCAGATGCCATCCCAGGAACACCAAGCCCTGCCCTTGATGCCCAGGAAAGCCAAGGGCAGAGCTGAGGAGGACCCATCCCAACCTGCCCTTTCCCACCCCCAAGTCCCCCTAGCCAATGGAAGATGACGTGCCGGGAGGCTCACCAGCGTGGCATTCTTGGCTCCCACACTCGCCCTCTGGACCAGCAGTTTCTTGTCCCCCAGCTGCATCCCGTTCAGCCCCGCAATGGCCTATGTTTGGAGGACGAGGGGTGGGGGGCGCAGGGAAGAGGTGCGGGTCAGGGGTCAGGAGCCCACCACCTCCCCCCAATACCACAGATCCAGGCATTGGTGGGGGAAGAGGGGAAGGCAAAGGACTGAGAGCTTGGAAAGCCCCAGGCTGGCCAGCCTCCTCCCGCCCGTCCCGAGAAGGGGAGACCTTAGCGAGAATACAGCAGGGTGGGGACAAGGGCAGATTCAGCCAAGCTGGTGCCCGGGGCTCACCTGATCCGTGACGTTGATGTCCACGTACTCACAGAAGGCGTAGCCCTTGGAGAGCCCAGTGGCGCTGTCCTTGACCAGATTGAAGGCCTTGAGAGGCCCGAACGATGTCAGCAGCTCTTTCACCTGTGGGGTGGCCGCCATGCCATCAGGGTTTGTTCAGCAAAGATGGGAGTGTGGGTGGGAGTGGTGAGGGGCCTACCTGGTCATCGTTCAGGTAATTGGGTAAGCCCCCAATGAACAGCTTGTGGGCAGAGTCTGGGACCACAGTGGACACAACTCCTGAGGGGAGAAGAAAGGAACAGACTTGGATGCCCACCAAGAGGTTGTCACCGAACCCTGGGGGAGCGTGCAGGGAGAGGCCCGCCTTCCTCCTGGCCCGGTGACGGCCGACGAGAGAAAACACCATGTCTCCCACACCTGCCCAGCCTCTGGGTTACTTGGGCCTTGCTGTGAGACACTACCCTGGCACAGCCGCAACAGTCCTGCCTTGGGACCACAAAGACCTGAGCTCACACCCCAACTTGCTGCCTGCAGCTACGTGATCTCTCCCTACTGACCAGGGGTTTCAAAGATGCATGAACTCTTGCCCACCGTTGAGCCCTTTCCTGTCACCTACTGCTGAAATCCAGTCTCCCATAGGTGAAGTTCTCAGGTCTGCCCTCAGGGCTCCTGCACTCCAGTCACGCAGCCCCCAGCTGTTTTCTGGCCCCAGCCAAGTGTGCCTTGGGAAGGGTCTGCTACCTCCCTGAGGTGCCCAGCTCACTCAACACTATGTTCTTGGCACCCAGTGGAAACTGACACCGCAGGGTCATGTCAGTTAAGTGGATTTAATGACCACTGTGCGTCGAAACCTGCAGTCCTGCCCTGTGCACTGAACTCTGGGCTCAGAGATGAGCGCTAGCAGGCAGCTTGGCCCCACACCCCACAGACTTCTTCCCAACGTTCTGTACATTTCCCATGAGGAACACGGAGCCCCCACAATGCCTGCACAGACCCACCGCCCATCCAGCCTGACCTGCTCCTGCCCTTGCCTCCCTCTGCAGTCAGTACCAAGTGGCCGCCCACTTCCTCCTGACCCTGGGGAAGTGAGCTGGGCAACACACCTGAGATACACAGCCACCACACCCCTGGGAGGATGACTCCTCCCACCACCTGCCTAGCCCCACCCCACACACTGAGGTCGCCCTGCAGAAGTGCTGGCACAACCCAGCCACTCCAAGGACCACAGCCGAGCCCCATCACTCTCGAGACCTGATTGTCCAAGGGGAGAAGAGATTCCTGGGAGCAGAGGCCTTGGACAGAGCAGTCCCCACAGGCCAAGTGTCTGGGTCATACTCAGTCTACGCCTCAATACTCTCCAAAGCCCTATCCGCAGTACAACGGGAAAACTGAGGCACCCAGAGGCACCGCTAGCCCGAGGTCACACAGGCAGAAAAAAGGGGCTTCCAGAACCCACTCACCCGACTCCACTGTGAACTAAGGACTTTCCAAGGGAGCCATCACCTCTTCAACAGCAGATGAGAACACATGTAGAGGTTACATCACCCGGCAGGTGAGTGGCAGGGCCCAGGCTGGTGCCTGCTGTGCCACACCTCAGGGAATGTGGGTGTGCTGAGGGCACCCCATCAGGCCCTGGGGTCAGGTCAGGGCCGCAGCACCAGTTAGGCTCCCTAGGCCTCACATGGGGAGAACACCGGCACCTACCACAGAGGGCGAGTGGGTGAGACGGTTCATGAAAAGTGTCCTTCACACCGGGCCCAAGGGCAGGCCAGAGGGCCAGCCCTGGGAGCAGTCAGTGCCATGGCCACTGCAGGCCCTTTGTGGACGGACACTGGGCTCCGAAGCAGGGAGGATGACCTTTCCAGGTCCCACAGCCAGGAAAGGGCAACACCAACTGTGAAGTTGAATTGACCTCAGTGCCCAAAATCAAGCCCGACGTCTGACACCACCTCTGACGTAGAAGACAGGCCTCCAAGCACGCCAGCTGCGGGCTGCTCGCTGCTCCACACAACCCCTCTCTGCCACCTCCCCCATGAAGGACACCCTAGACCCTGACAACCAAATGATCTTTTCCATGCCCAGTGTCACCTCTGCCTCAGCAGGACCGCGCTGCTGGGCCTGGCACAGAAAACCCTGCCAACAGAGGGAGTGGGTGGAGCCCACGGGCAGGAGCCTCCTGAGGCTCTGAGTCAGACTCAGCCCCTAACTGCAGGTGCGTCTGGCACCGGGTGGGAGCTCATAACCCAGCTGGATTCACCAACTCAAAGGTCACTGTGCCTTCTGACCTCCAAACACAGCTCTGGCTCTCCCTTGCCCCAAGTTCACATCTTGTCTTACAGAGTCCACGCAGGACCCCACATCAGCACTGGACGAGTGGGCCCAACTTCAGTGGTAATGAGTTCAAAGTGTAACCACCCTGGTAACGTGTGTCTGCAGTTTCAGGTCCGTACTCCTCTGCCAAGATAAGGAAACTACCTCCCGGTTCCTGAAATTTTCAAATCAAGAATGACTCCTAAATTTTACAAAATGCTTTTCCCTTTAGTCATAAAGTTGATTTATTTATGAAGAAAAAAATCAAAGTATTAGCTTGTTTACAAAAAACAGGACCCGAGGATGCTCACCCTGTTCCCTGCTGCTCCTGCCAGCCCCCAGAATGAAAGGGCCACGAAATGTGGATGGCGAGCTCGGCGACGGCCTCCTCTAGTCAAGGGCCCGAGACTACATCTCATGTCTGACATCTCCACCCACACAGGGAACCGGCGGAGCAGACGCACCTCACCCTGGAGCACATCAGCAGAGCCATAGCTTTGCTCCCTCCTGGGAAGTGGGTCCCCAGTGCCGCCACAGTACGGTCAGCTGGCAAACACTGACAGTCTGTGGGCTGAGGGTCTGTCACCAACGGCAGCTTGGGCACTGCAGCATAAGAGTAGCCTAAATTGCCCGGCCAGTGTGGCTCAGTGGTTGAGCATCAACCCAGGCACCAACAGGTCACCAGTTCGATTCCTGGTCAGGGCACATGCCCAGGTTGTGGGTCTGATCCCCAGTGGGGGGCATGCAGGAGGTGGCCAATGTTTTGCCTCATCAATGTTTCTATCTCTCTCTCCCTAAAAATCAATACAGGAAAAAAAAGTTTTTTTAAATGAGTAGCCTCAATCATAGACGAGTGGGCACAGCTAGGTGAGAATAAACCCTTAAAAAGCAGGCGGGGTCCACACTGGCCCCAGGCTGTCCCTAGACAACCCTCATATACAGTACGGCCAGAGATCAGCAGATGATCCAGAGCGTACCTTAGTGCCTGACACAGCAGTACTGTGGGAGGGGGTCCTCAAGTACTTACAAGTGAGTTAGCACACCCTGGGTGTCCTGAGGAGAGCACACACAAAGGGATGTTCTGCACTAGCCCGATCTAGGAGCTGGCCCCACAGACAACATGTAAGAACTCACCGGGCTACACACTCACAGAAGCCTGGTGTGCGTTACACCTCGGTTCTTCAAGAAGTTAGACACACAATGAATTTACCCTAACTGTTCTGGGGGACAGCACTGGCTAGCAGTGGGCACCCAGGGCTGGTCCCGAAGTGCTACCCTCTCTGGAACCCCATGTCCCCACCACTTTGCAAAGTGAGGAATTGAACCAGTTTCTAAAAGATAATCCTCCAGTGCGAAGCCTCAGACCACAAGGGCCAGCTGACCCAACACCCAGAGCTCGGGCATACTCACCCTGCCTTTGCCAACAACTCCCAGCACCTGAGGCCCAGGCCCCCGGCACAGCGCAGCAGGGGCTCCTCCCACCCCAGAGCTCCCACAGGCCTAAATCCTAACTTACACCCCATTTATCAACCACAGGCCGGAGTCCAGCCTGCTGCATGATTCTGTATAGCCTGCAAGCTCTTTGAAAGGTTATTTCGTGATATGCAAACATCACACGAAACCCCAATGTCCATGTCCATAAATATCAGGGTAGATGAGACACAGCCACAACCACTCATTACGGTGGTGTCTCTGGCTGCTTTCGCACAACTCAGAGCAGAGCTGTTTCCAGACACCTATGGCCTGCAAAGCCTCAAGTATCTACCATGTGGCCCTTTCCAGATGAAAGGGTGCCAACCCCAGCTCTGCCGTTACTCCCAGCCCGGGATGACAGTATGCACACTGCGGAACAGGGCCCAGTGCACTAGAGCCCACGGAAACAGAGACAAAACAGAGGGAACACCCATGTGTCAGGCCCCAGGACCCACACCGGAAGCCTCACCTGTAACTGAGAAACCAGCTCAAATTGGCCTGATCCTATTTATATCAAGATACTGAATCGTCTTTGTATGCTCCCCAACCAGAGCATGCACAGAGAACCCGGACCTTCAGTGACACCTGGTACCAGAGCTGGGATGGACAGAACTCCATCACCAGAACCGTTTCCCCAGCGAAGGGCCTGCTGTCCAGGGAGACCCGGAGCGGAAGCCCCACACTGAAGCCTGCCCCGCCGGTGCTCCCACGCAGCAGCCTGTCCTTCCTCACAGTCCCACTCAAACCCTCCACAGGCAGGCAGATTTGCGTCTCGCCTCCTGACCTTCTGCCGGCTGACCTCACAACAAAGCCTTTTCTTTTCTCAAAGCTGACCGCGTGGAACTGTCTGGGTGTGCGTAGGCAGCAAGCCCTTGGCGGTCACACCGACTGCTGACCTGTACACAGGCGCACACTGCTCCCGAGGCCCCAGGGCGGGGCGCCTCACTTCCCAGAACACCTGCACTCTGGTCCTGGCTCTGCCACTTACAAGCTATGCGTCCTCAAGCAGACCAGTCCACCCTCTCTAGCCTTGGGTGCCAACTCTGGGATACCTCCAGCTCTAAAGTCTGGTGGATCGGAGACCTGTCCAGCGCACTCACACCACTTCCCAAGCAGCTCAACTGGGCTGAGGCGGGCAGGCGGGACAGGACCCCACTCACCAGGCACGTAGACGGAGGGATTCTCCGACATGCCAGGTAGGGGCTGGTAGTCATGAGGCCTGCGGATCTTAAGCGATTGGCCCTGGAAGATGATGCCGTCGAAGGCCATGGCCTGGGTGGTCTCATCCACTGAGCGAAACTGAATGAAAAACAATGGGTGGTGAGCAAGCAATCCAGCCCTCAGCCCCCAGCCCCCAGGAGACTCAGGGATGGCAAAGGACAACTGCAGAAGGGCCCTGTGCAAACAAAGGCTCCTGCCAAAGTCCTGCAGCCAAAGTGGGGCCCACCCCGACCTCACCAGGCTCCCCACTCACCTCCAAGAAGGCAAAGTTCTTGTCCTGGTTAATCTGCACAGCCAGGACAGGGTTGCCAGGCGCCTGCGTCAGTCCCCCCAGGCGCATCTGGGCGTTGAAGAAATCCATCATGGCCTCCTGCAGAGGGAAGAGGAGACAGGGAGGGGCGGGGAAGGGGGTGGAGAGAGGAGGGGGAGGGTGAGAGAGGGAGACACAGAGGGTTTGGGGGAAGGGGAAGGGACAGGGAAGGGGGAGGGGGGAATAGTGGAATAGGGTGTGGGATTGGTCAAAAGTAGGAAAAACGGGAGGGGGAAATGAGAGAATGGAGAGGGGGCAGCAGAGACGCCCGAGGGCCAGGTGTGGGGCAAGCCCCAGGGGACCAAGAGGGAAAGGAGAAATAGGGTTCAAGGAAAGATACCGGAAACAACCACAGGGAGAAGAGGAAAAACACAATACAGAGAAAACAAGGAGACAGAACACACAAGTAGTAGCCAGTGGTGAGAGGGAAATGACAGGAAAGTGGAAAGCATTGGCAGGCAGAACACAGAGGGACCCCAAGTGGGGGAGAGAGAGAGAGAGGAAAGAGAGGAGCAGAGGGACAGGGGGGGAGAGCACAGGAGGAGGTGGGGAGGGGCAGGGAAGGGGAGGAGAGAAGAGTGATGTGGAGGGATCTGGCCCTGGAGTCGGGGGCTGGTTCATCAAATGTAGCAAAGTGCAGGTTGAGAAAGTCAGAATGGACCTTACTTGCCTTCGCCGACGGTAGCAAACTTTTTGTTGCTACGAGGGATCTCAGCCCCACAATATTTCACTTTAAAGAGAAATGGAAACAACTCTTTGATCTCGGGATTCTCAGGGGTGCCACGGGAAGGGGTGGGGAGAGGGGGGGAGAGGAGCATGGGGAAGGTGGGGAGGTCAGGGCCATCAAAAATAAAAGAGCAGCTGTGGGAGAGGATGGGACAGGCGGCAGAGAGCAGAGGCGTGTCAGAAATTGAGGGGCGTGCGTCTGTGTTGAGTGTGTGAGTGAGTGTGTGTGTGTCGAGTCTCCCTCTGTCTCTCTCCACACAGATTCGGATGCGGATGCATGGACTCTTGGTTCGTAGGTAAGTTGTGTGTGTTTGATCCCTGGGTTTGGAGGAGATTGGGGAGGGGAGACGGGAGAGGATAGAGGAGGGAGGGAGGGCCACCCCCAGCCCGGCCCCTGGCTGGCTCAACTCCATCGTCCGTCTGGGAGGGGGCCGGGGGGTCTTGCAGGAGCAGAGTCTGACCCGTGCAGGTAGGGGAAGGAACAAAGGGAAGGGAAGGAATGGGGAGGGGAGGGGCAGGGCAAGGGGGGAGGGCAGTACCTCAGTGATGCCAAAGGGGATGTTGCCCACGTAGAGGCGCCGGGCCTGTCTGGTCATCTGGCTCCCGACCACGGGCACCGGCGTTGGGGTCACAGCCAAACCGTCCGGGGTCATAGTGGGAAGGAGGGCGGTGGCTGGAATCTGACCCGCAGCTTCAAGGGCAGAAAGGAGAACCCAGTGTCACAGGACCACCCTGTAACCATGCTGCTAGACCGCCCCCACCCCACAGCCCATCCTTGGAGAGGGCTCCCTGACGGACCGGCTGCCTTAGGAAGCCAGGCCTCCTGAAGGCAGCCCTCCAGAGGCCTCAGCCCCTCTCCATCATGGGGGCTTTAAAAGGGCAGAAGCCAAAAAACCCAGGGCTCAGACCTCATTCCCCTCCCCAGGAATGGGGTGTGCCTCCTCGAGCACTCGGCACACGTTGTGAAGCCCACCTTGCATGGCCTTGTACTGCATGGGGGTGATGTGCTCAAAGCCAGGGGGTGGCACGTCCCAGTATTTGCGAACCTTCTTCTTCTTCTCATGGCGCGGGGAGCGACTGGGGAAGGGAAGGTGGAGGGGAGAGCGGGCAGGGCCACCTCAGTGTGGCCCACTGCAGGCCTGCCAGCCCCCAGGCTCCCCACCAGTAGCTCTGCTCCTCCAGGAGGGAGAGGGTCTGGGTCAGGCCGTGCCCAAGCCTGGGGAGGGGCTGATTTCAAGGCAAGTACTTGGGCCATGGTTGGGTAGGACTGGGCAGGGAAGGGGTGAACATCAGGGTGGGAGGGGAAGTGGTGGACATCAGGGTGGGAAGGGAAAGGGTGGACATCAGGGTGGAAGGGGCAAGGAGAGAAGCTCACATCAATCCACCGTGCTCCTCTTTAGCGCCTCTGGTCAAAGGTTTGCTGGGGGGGAGGGAAAGGTATGGGGAGGGGTGACTGGGGACCCTTGTTTTCCCCCATTCACCACACCCCCCAGGGCACAAAGCCCCAGGGCTGGGGGCAGGGCCAAGGTGAACCGCAAACAGGCCCCCTTGGCCCTGCTATTCCCCCCAAATTCCCACACCACAAAAAAAGAAGTGATGACAGGGAGAAGGACCAGACAGATAGCTTTCTAGTGGAGAAACTGAGCTGGGAGGAGACAGGACTTCACCTACCCCATCCCTCCTCACTTAAGGGGACAGGAAGAACAGGAGGGGCACCTGGAGAGGGAAGAGGCTTTGGAGAGCAACAACGAATGTCCTAAGCCAGAAGGTGGCTGGGGCAGAGGTGTGGCCCTCTGAAATCTCCCCCTTCCCGAGAGGCAGAGCACAGCCTCAGGACAGTCCCATAGGAGCTCAGAAAGAAAGTGAAGAAGAGATGAGCCCTAGAGTGGGGAGATGGGAAGGGGAGCCCCTCATGAAGAAAAAGACAGAGTCAGTACTTGTCTCCACACTCACCTCCAAGATCAAGAACCTGCTGCCCCTACAACTCACCAGAAACTGAAGGACACCCCAAAACAGAAAAAACCGAATTCCACACAGACAAGCTGCAGATACTATCCCCAGACAGAGAGGAGCCAGAGGCCAGGGCACCCGACGGTGCTCTCCCACGGGCGCCCTACCCCATCCACCCAGCCAGGGGTCCCCAGCCTGGTACCTTCGTCGTCGCCTGTCCCGGGAGGCACTCCGCTGGTCCCGGTTGCGCCTGTCCCGGCTCCGGCTCCGGCGCTTGCGGTCGCGGCTGCGTGAGCGGCTGTGGCTGCGCTTCCGGTGCCGGTTCTCCTTGTCTCGCTCTGGGCAAGGCGGGGGAGGATGAGCTGAGGGAGGATGTGGCCCAGCCCACCCATGCACTGGGGGCCATGCCCCAGCCCCAGGGAGGCCACCCCCAAGGGGACAGGATTCGATAGAGGGGAAATAGCAGGCTTCCTGGGTCCACAAGCCAGTCCAGGGACCCTGGGAGACCCTGGGGACGGGTGCTGGTTACCTGAGGGGACAGGGCCTGAAGGTGCCCGGGGTGTGAGATACCTGAGGCTGCTCAGGAGGAGCTGGGGGCCAGAGAAGAGAGGAGGCTGGCTCCTGGTCCCCTCCAGGGCTGAGGGGCCTGACCCCAGGGCCGTCCCTGAGAGGGGCAGGGCTAGAGGCTGGGGAACCAAGAGACCCAATGATGTTTTCCTGAAGGGACCTGTGGCCCCTCAGGAAAGACGTCCTCAATCACCAGGTGCACCCACAGCCCCACCATCAGGCCCTGGGTGAGGTCCCAACCAGGACGCCCTTCCCGAGGCCCCTCCTGCCCCACGTAGACCTGCATCCCAGACCACCCCATCCTGCCTCAAAGGAAGTACACAGCACTCCAGGGGCCAGGCTGCTTTCTCTGAAAGGCTCAGGAGGCAGCACCGAGCTGGGTCCCTCACCCCTCACTTGGGGGCGGTGGCGCCTGGGAAAGGAGCACCGCCCTCCCAGCTCAGCAACAGGGATCTCTGCTCCCTACAGACGTCTCAGCCTCAAAACAGGTGCAGGCTGAGCCGCAAGCATGGGGAGCTGGAGCACAGCATCCTCCTTCAGCTCCTGGGCTGACACTGACTTCGCACCTGCCCGGCAGACCGTTAGCGTGCTCGTGAGTGTCACGGTGCTCGTGAGTGTCACCATGCTCCAGGAACAGAGGGCGGAAGAGGCAGTAAGGAAACCACCTCAAAGTGGACTCACACAAGTCTGTCCATGTTTTCCTAATGCAACTAATTATGAACTTTCTGTAAACACACCTCAACTCCAGAATCAATAAAACTCAGGAAAAACAGACACCTGAAAAAGGGAAAAAACACAGCAGCCAACACCAGGATGCTTCCCAAATCCAGGACCTGAGCTAAATATTTCACTTGCAGTCAATCCTTATTACTGCTTTGGGGAGACCCTGCTGGGGACTCCTGTAACAGGGAAACTGAGGCACAAGGTGGTCGCATGACTGGCCCAAAGGCCAAAAAGGCAGTGGAGAAGCCTGAACATGAACCCTGTCACGTCAGCAAGTTCAGTGAAGCAGCAGGCTACACCCCCCAACTCAGGCAGGACACTCCATGGTCTGCATGGAACCCCTATCGACAATGGGATTATATCCTTGAAGGCAAAAAAAAGAATCAAAAACTGGAAACAGATCAGCGTCAGAAGGAGAGGCGTGAGCTGGAGCTCTGCTCCTGAGACAGGCAGGCTGTGAGCCCCAAGGGTCTTTCCTGCAGCCAAGGCTCTCAGACCAAAGCAGCAGCAGTGGTTCCTGCTGGGTAGTTAAAATGCAGACGAGGAAATTAATTCCCTGGAGAACAGGTGCACTGGGTAGCAGTAAAGTCAGGATGGGGGTGGCTCAGAGACAAAGACCCACAGATGGGCAACACGTGGGCAGCACTCCCCCCTATACACACCGATCCTGGGCACAGAGGGAGCTTAAAGTGTTCAAAATGCTGTGGCCACCTTGGAGGGACAGGGCCACCAACCCAGGGGACGTTCGAGAGCTGAGCCTGGCCTCCACACACCAGGAGGGCGCGCACACGGGCAGCACCCTGGCGAGAGCCTCCAGGAAGGGCTCGAGCAGCTCTGTGGGCAGGCAGCATCAGCTCTCCTGCTTACCAACTGCATGAGACCAGCAACAGCACTAACCACTCAAAACTCACTTTTCTCTCCTTCAAACGAGGATATGTGAGGACTTGGCAGAAGGATGTTTTGAGAGCACCTTCCCCAACGGTGACACCCATCTCTGAGTGAGCTGAAGACCTTACTATGCTAGGAACGATTTCACAAGGAAAAACACCATTTCTTGGGCATTTAACATAGGCCAGCTCACATGCCACATGCTTCACCTAAGTTACCCCATGTAATCTCCGCTCCACCTCGGACCAGGCCTGGGAAAGTTCTAAAACTTTCTGAGCCTGTTTCTTCCTCTGCAAAAGAAAATCATTTCGGCCTCACAGGGCTGTTACAGGGTCCACTTACAAAAACTACGAAGAGCTTAGCAAAGCGCCTGGCACGGGGCAGGCGCTGGGTTTAACTGTAATTGTGGTTACTTACCACCCTTATTAATTCCAGAAACCCAGTGACGAGAAGAATGGTCAGTCCCCACAAAAAAACAAGTAGTTCAGCTAAGAAACAAAGTAGCTAACTGCTCGAACCCAGGCAGCTCAGCGCTCAAGCCTGGGTAGTTAGGCGGCACATCACGCAGAAAGGCAAGCCCTGGGCGCGTAGTAAACGGGACTTCCCGAGCACTGTCTCCTCAGCCCGTCGCCCCATCCCCAACTCCAGGCTGGGTTCTAAGGGGCACTCGAACGCCCCTCATCGGGCCCTTCAAACACGGGCAGCATAAGCCTCAAGGCCCCCACCTTCCCTAAGCCCAAGTTTCTACGCCCCCAAACCAGGAGACATGAAGAACTTTTTAAACGTCACGGCTCCCCCAGTTCCAACATTCCTGGGAGTCTCTAAGCTGATCGGCACCCGCAGGGCCCCGGAGGGCCCTGGCCCCTTTCAGTGCCTCAGGTTCCCCACCTCCATGCTGAGGTGCCTCACGAATCTAGGGGCCCCGATCCGGGATCGGACAAGACGTGGAGTCTGTCTTCAGCAGGGGAGAGATAAGAGACCAACTCCGCACACTGCGACCATCGCCACCGCCCGCGTAGACGCAGGGCGCACGCGCGGGGCAAGAGCACCTTAAGAACGCGCGGAGCACCCCTCTTTCACAAGGGAACCCGCGCCACACGCAGCGCCCCAAGTCCAGCGAGGACCCCCGCGCGGGCTAGTCCGCAGGACACGGCGCACGGGGCGGCCGCAGGGGGAGGCCCGGCCCACGCCGCGGCCGTGCCCATGCCCACGTGAAGTGAGGGCGCACGCAGCCGCCATTTTGGAACAAAGGGGGCGTGGAGACCCAGGCCGCGGACCCGGACGGAAGCGGAAGTGCCGAAGCAGCGGGAGAAAAAGAGAGGTCGCGGACTCCGACGTGTGTACAAATACATGGGTATACGCTCCCTCCCAGATTAGTAGAAACAGTCCGCGAGGGGACACGCGGCGGGCCCTCGCGGCCACGCCGCCTCCGCCGGGGACGAAGCGGGGCGCACCACGAAGCCCGGCGCGCATGCGTGCCGGCCCGTGCCCGCCGCCCCCTCCCCTCCCGCGCGCGAAGGCACGTCGGGCCGTCACGTGAGCGAGGCGCGCGCCGCGGGACAGTGGGGGTGGGGGGTAGCCGCGCGGCCCTGAGAGGAGGGGAAGCGAGGGGGAAAATGGCGGGGGGCACGGAGGAAAGCCAGGAGCCGCCCCGCCCGCCGCCCCGCGCCCCCGGCGCCCTCACCTTGCTTATTCTCGTTGAGCTGCCGCTCGAACTCGTCGAAGTCCGACATGCTGAGGCGGCCGCGTAGGGCCCTGTGCAGCTCTCACCTCGCCTTGCCGCCCGCCCGCTCCGGCCGCTTCGGCTACTTCCGCCGCTCGCTTCGGCTACTTCCGGCCGCCTCCGGCGCGCCGCCGCCGCCCCCTGCCTAATCGAGCCGGGACCGCCCGCCCCGCCCCGGCTCCGCCCCTCTCCCCGCCCGCCCGCCCGCCCGCGAGGTGCCCCTTCCCCAGAGCCTGGTCCCAAAGCACGTTTGCTATTTCCGGACCGCGGAGGAAGGACTCGGCGCAGCAGCTTCGGCTAATTCCGAAAACACCCGAAGCAACGGTTTTGCCGAGGTTCTCGGGTTGTCGTAGCTTTTCGGAAATTAGCTCTTCAACGTTCGGGTGTTTCCGTGGGTCCTCGCCTTCCTCTGCGCCCAGCGCCCCCCACCCCGGCCAAGGGTTCGGCTTCTTCCGACAATTCAAACCGTCCGTCTTTGGCCGCTTCCGCAGGGGCTCTCCGCTCGATTCCGTCGGTCCTGTCCGAACAATCCGCTACTTCCGACAAGTCTAACCGTCTTGGGACTTAGTACTTCCCGACGGGGCTCGTCCTCGGGCCCTTCCAGAGATTAAGCTCGATTCCAAGCTTCGGCTCTTTCCGGAGATTCCACTCGCTCACCCCTCCCTTCTCACTGAAAACTTCGGCTCCTTCCGCCGCCACTTCGGGAAAGCCTCGCTCACGGAGACGGCTTCGGCTTTTTCCGTCGGTGCTTCGGCTCCTTCCGGCGTCGGGAACCGAAAAGGGAGGGAGGGCGGAGACGAGGTGGGTCAAGGGAAGGGATACGGGGCAGGGGCAGGGTCCCGGCTCCCACCTGGCTCTCCCGGTGGGGAGAGTGGAGGAAAAGAAAGGCCGATCTCGTGGGAGACCTAAGAAGGTTGCGCGAGACAAAAGCAGCCAGCGGGGTGAAGGGTGCGCGCGGCCGCTGCGGAGGTTGGCAGCGCGGCTTTGTGCGCCTGCGCAAGTTGGAAGCGTTGGGGAGCGAGATGGACTTTTGCGCCTGCGTAGAGGTCGGTCTAAGGCGAGGTTTTCTCTGCTCCAGCAGGGGGACGGGTTCCAGAACCTCCAGGGCGCGTGCGCGAGCGCGAGCCTTGCCCTTCCTCCGGCGAAAGTTCCGAATTCCCGACAGTTGTGCACGGCAGCCTTCTCCTGGTTGCCGTAGCAACCGCTTAAGCGCTTCGCCGTCCTGCCGCTGCGCAGGCGCAGCAGTGTAGAGGACACTTCCAGGAGACAGTCTTGCATTACTGCCCCCTGGCGGGCGGAAGCCTCCTTCCAGGGATTCCGTTTTCCGCGGCGGCCGCCTCCGCTGGAGGTCATTGAGTCCCGCCTCCTACCGCCGCGCCTCTAGTCCAAGCAGCCCACCGGGTAGTGTTTACGCCTGTTTTCCCGAGCACAGCTGCTTCTCCCTCTCCCGCTGCTGCCTCGGGGGTGCTAATTACACCCTGTCTCCCCAACCTCCCCGTTTCCCATCTGACCGCCCGCTCCCTGGAACCCCCTCAAGGTCCTGTCGCCGTCTCCGTGGCAACGGCCACCCCCTCCCAAGGAAGAGGCCAGGGCCTAGTTTATTCCAAATTTTATCATCTTTTTTATTTAAATTCTCTGAATAATTAATTATCTGTCTCAAGTAGACTTGGGGGAGGTCGGGAATGCGGGTCCTTGGGGCTGGGGGCGGAGACCAGGCGTGTGCAGTGTCCCTGCCCCGCAGGGGCCCGCCCTCTTCCCAGGAGGAAGGGCCGGGTGAGGGCTGGAGGGGTGACAGTGTTTAGGGAAGGGCAGAACCAGGCCCCTGGGATCCTGGCTAAGTGACACACACACCCCCAACCCTGGGAATGGAGAGGATGCTGGGAATGTGGGAAGCAAAGAGTGCAGATCTATATACAAGGGACCTGGGGTGGGAGTTGGGGTACGTAGGTGGGGGAGACAGGCACACGCAGAAGCACGCTGCCCTCCCCAGACCTTGGAGAGGGTCACTCCACTCATGCACACACAAGCCGTGTGCCAGGTGGGCTGGAGGGGAGGGAAGTGGGGGTCGGAGGCCATGGCCTGGGCCAGCGGGGGCAAATCACCGCTTGAAGCGGTAGGTGATGGGGAGCAGCAGCTTGCTCTTCTTGAGGGCCTGCACCTTCTTGAGAGTCTCGTCGTCCAGGGCCAAGAAGCAGCGGCGCGAGTACTCCAGCAGACGCTCCTTGGAGGGGTCGAACTCGCCCACCTCCGCCAGCTTCTCCGGTGCCACGATGAGAAGCTCCGCGATGGGCGTGGTTAGCGCCACCGTGTTGCGGTCCACGCGGTGGTGCTCGAAGGCCCGCGACATGCTCTTCAGCTTCTGGAAGGTGCCCAGGATCTTCTTGTAGCGGCAGAGGACGCCGTCCGCGTCCTTCACTGCAGGGCGGAGGGGGGGGGGGGTTGAGAGGCAGACATGGGGGTTAAATGGAGGTAGACAGGGGAGACAGATCCACATGGGGGGGCAGTTGGGAAGCAAGTGGGACAGAAATGGGAGGGCAAGGCACGGGGTCAAGAGACAGATGAGGTCAGGGGCCCAAACAGCAAAGGAATGGAGGGAGGCAGGAAGATATGAGTGAGGAGTCCAATACAGGAATGGCCAGAACAAAAGGGAAAAGAGAAGAAAAAGCAGTGAAAAAAGTTAGAATAGGTGGGAGAAATAGAGGCACAATTTGGAGGAGGGGAAATCAGGAAGGCCCCAGGGGAGGATGAGGAGGAAAAGTAACTGTAGAGCAGTTAGCTCCCAGGCCTGAGCCATCAGTTTGGCTCAGGGAGGGTGGACCAAAATGTGCAGACTACCCCAGGGCCATAGGTGGAGGCTGGGAGCCAGCCACCAGTAGATCTGGTCTATTAAAGATGGGGAGGGGACAGGGGGCTGGTGTGGCTCACTGTTTGAGGGTTGACCCATGCACCAAGAGGTCACTGGTTCCATCCCCAGTGATGGGCATGCAGGAGGCAGCCAATCGATGTTCTCTCTCATCGATGTCTATTTCTATCTCTCTCTAAAATCTATTTTTTAAAAAACTATTTTTTAAAAAAGATGGGGAGGGCCCTGGCCAGTTTTGCTCAGAGGTTAGAGCGTCGGCCTGCGGTCCAGAGAGACCCAGGTTCGGTTCCTGCTAAGGGCATGTACCTCAGTTGCAGTTTTTCTCCAGCCCTGGCTGGGTCCTGCAGGTGGCAACCACTTGATGTGTCCCTTTCACGTCAATGTCTCTCTCTCCCTCCCACTCTATCTGAACAAAAAATGAAAAAATGTCCTTGGGTGAGGATTAAAAAAAAAAAAAGATGGAGAGGAAACACAGCAAGTCCCCGCCGAGACCATTCCCAGAACGTTAAGGTTGCCAGGTCCCCCACTGGCCCCCATGTCCCCCCTTACCCCGCTGCCTTTCCCGGGCCTTGGGCTTCCCGAAGCGCCTCCGGCCAGCGCCTCCCTTCTGCTTCTGTCTCTTCCTCTCCACATTACTGCCTTCTTCAGACACTCCGCTCAACGAGGAGGCAGCTGACTCGGGGTCTGAGGCATCCCCTGCAGCCCCACCCCGGCCGTCACCCTCAGCCCGCCGGGGCCCAGACTTCACCCGGCAGTGGTCCTCTGGAGAGAGGGGGGGAGAAAGAGGCACGTGTGAACTGCAGGAACAGGAGGAAGACGGAGGCAAGAGGCCTGTCTGCAAGGTGGGGACAGATGTCACATCACACAGGTTCCCAGGAGGGGCAGGAAGCGGTGTATAGATGCTCAGGTCCCTACCTAAATGGCCGAATAAAGGACAGTCAGCTAGGATTTGAGGATACAAGTCATGGGTGGAGCTTGGTTGAGGATGCCCAGCTGAGTCCTTAACTTGGTGGCAAGAGGTCTAGGGGATGGCCAACACTGGACTGGGGACCTCAGGAGAGTCTGTGACTATGTAGGATTCTCACAGTGGAGGAGAGTTTTTCTGGGGACCTAGTGGGGCCTCCAGAAGAATACATTCCAGACACCTTGGAGGCAGGCAAGGCCTTGTGGGAGTGGAGGGTTAAGACCCTGAGCGAAATCTCAGGTTCGGGGTTTAGTGGGCTGGGAATGGCAGGTGCCCACCTCCACCTGGGTGAGGGAGTGCTGAGGCCCTATACAGGGCCCCCGGAAGGTAAGCTGGAGGAGGTCTGGTGTTGGGGAGTCCCCCTGAGGAAGTCCAACGACCCCTGGGCTCTACCGTCATCCTGAGAGGTTCCCATAGTTGTGGGGACACAACAGTAGGTCTCAGCAACCCAGGCAAGAGGTGGTTTCAGAGCACAGGGGTCCCCAGTAACATCCATCTTGGGAAACGAGCAGGCCACTTGCCAGGCTTTTGGGGGCGTTCACAGAGGAATGTGGGAGCTTGAAAGGGAGCCAGCCGTGGGCTGAGCACCAACAGGGGGAACATACAGGTGGGGTCCTCCAAAACACCGCTAAAGATTTGGCAAATGAAAGCCCTGACTATTTGGGGGAAGGGTTGGGGCACAGGGTCCTGAAGACGCCATGAGACTAAGCAGAAGGTAAAGGTGTCAGGTCCCATTGGGCCACCACAGAGCATGAGTGTGTGGGTAAGAAGGGTCTGGGGTCCTGGAGAAGGGTTGGGGCTGGGTGCCAAGGCCCAGCAGGGGACCGACTCATGGGGCACCCTCACCTGCATCCATCCGCGCAGAAGAGATGAACTTGTCCAGCTGACATCGCAGGAAGTCCCGCTCCTCCTCCAGGTCCTCAATGCGTTTCTGCAGCCATGAGTTCCGCTCCAGGGCCATGTGCAGCTGGGCCCTGACACCATTCATCAGGGCCACGGTTGGGGACGCAGCCTCCGGAGGCTCTAGGGCAGCGGGGGGCCCTGGTCACACTCCAGGCCTCAAAGGCCTTGTACCCCAGCTTACTCCAGTGCCTCGGTGCACCACCGCCCCTATCTCACCCTCGAAGTTTCCCCGAGAGGGGCTCAGGCTGTAAAAGAGCTGTGGGTCTAGGTGGGGCGTCTCCTCGAAGGGGATAGAGATCTCCAAGGCCTCATCGTCCTTCTTCACTAGAGAGAAGAGGTGGGGTCAGCCCAGGGACGTCCCCATGCCCCTGGGGCCAGCCCCCAACCCTGGGGAGGAGAGGGCAGGGATGGGCAGAGCGGCGGCGGGACCAAGGGTCGGCCAGGGTCCCAGCTTCCTCACGTGTCCTCCTCCGGCTGTTCCGGTCATTCATGGCGCGGCCTCCCGCGGACCCTGGCAGCTGAGCGCCTCAGAGGCCCTGGACAGAAAGAGCAGCCACAGATGGACTCCTTCCTCAGGACTGACTGGGCAGGTGCCGAGGGCCCGGGCCCCCGAGTCTGATGGAGCGGGGAGACCCAGAACCCTCAGGACTAAGGGAGGGCACCTGGGGGTCCAAACTCCTGAACTGCTACACAGGTACTCAGGGAAGGAGAGGGGTTCTGGTGGGGTCCAGAGAGGGGACATCCTGGCCGGACGGGTCACCTCGGGGCCAAAAGATGCAAGAGGTACGTGGGGAGACTGTACCCCAACTTCTAGGCATGGGGTGGGAGTCCAGCCCACGCGCGCGCCTCCCCCACCCACGGAAGCCCACACGCCTCCCCCGCACTCGCGTGAGCAAGCATGACCCCTTCCCCGTGGAGGGAAGCCGGGCGCGTGCGCACTGCGGGAGAAGGTCACGCGTGGGGATGCGGCCCCCGCCCCCGCCCTTTGTCCCGCGGATGGGAGGGGGAGCGAAGGTAGTAAGGGGGTCCCAGCGAGGGGGCGCGCCAGGCCGCGGGTGCCCGGGGTCGGACGGGCCGGGATCCCGCGCTCACCCACCCGCGCGCGGAATCCGGCCGGGGAACCGACCGCGGCGGCGGCGCCCATGCCCGGCGCCGGGGATCGTCTGCAAAGCGTAGCGGGGAGTGGAGGGTAGCGCCCACCCACTGTGGGGCGGGCCGGCAGGAGCGGCGAGTCGCGGGGCCGCGGGCAGGGCCGGGGCCGGGACGCTCTCCCGGTCCGCTGGTCGACGCGCCTCCTCCGGTAGCCCCGGCCCCAGGTGAGGCCCGCCGTGTGCGGCGGAGGCCGGGGCCGCACTTGCGCGATGGCCCCTTGCAGCCCTATTCCCCCCCGCCCCCCCGCCCTCCGCGAGGCCCGGGCAGGGAACGTCATGAAATTCCCAATTCCTAGAGAGCCGGTGCTCCAGCGGTCACCCGGTGGGTGGCCGTGCACCAAATCGGACCTGGGTGAGGCGGGGATGGGGGGGCAGTAAGGGGCTGTCGGGAAAGTTAAAGCAAGGGGAGGGTCCCCTTAAACCATCCCCTGAGACCCACGGTTCCCAGGATCCTGGGGGAGTAGGTTAGACCTCTCTGAAAATAGGGGCCTGGACCCACCACCAGCAGCCCGTGTGGGTGTTCAACGACTGGCTCTAGCACATTCGGACCTGGACCCGGTCCTGGCCGCTGCCGCTCCCGTCTCAGTTTGCTCACCTGTGAAGTGGGAAGGATGCAGTGGCCGCGCTCGGCCCTAGTCTGGGCTCCGGGTGGGCATGGTTCGTGTCACCCAAGGACAGACAGCCGGCGGCTCGCTCCCTCTGGAGGGTGGAGACCAACCAGAATGGGGTGGGAAGAAGCAGTGAGGCCCCGCACAGTGCCGGGCACAGAACAGACCCTCGAGGAAGATTCCTGGAGGAGGCAGGGGCTCGTCCTGCCCAGCTCCACACATCTCTGCTCCTCCCTTCACCAAGAGCCTCCAAGCCCTGGGGTTCTTGCCAGCCCTCCTAAGAGCACAGCTGGAACCCTGCAGGGGGAGAGCTGTGGCCACACTCCTACCCACTCCCCATTACACCTGAAAGGGAGCCCTGGCCTGTGTAGCTCAGTTGGTAAGAACATCCTCTCCTGCACCAAAAAGGTCTAGGGTTTGATCCCCGGTCAAGATTTTTTTTTAAGTCCAAGGGAAGGCACCTGCCCTAGATGCAGGTTTTTCACACTACAGGTTTGTGGGTGGAGAATTCGATATAGTAGGATGGAATCAGCAACTTATTTATTTTTAATCCTCAGCAGAGGGAGTGAGAGAGAGAAATATCAATGTGAGAGAGACACATCAAATTGGTTGCCTCACGCAGGACCCGGATCAGAGGGAAGAGAGGAGAAAGAAAAGTATCCATATGAGAGCCGGGACTGAACCATAACTGAAGCATCTGCCCTCGACCAGAATCAAACCTGCGACTCTTTGGTTCCCGGGCCGATACTCCAACCGCTAAGCCAAACCAGCCAGGGCAGAATCAGCAATTTGAAAGTCATGGATGATGCCCAGCTTGTGTGGCTCAGTGGACTGAGCCTCCTCCCATGGACTGAAAGGTCCTGGTCAGGGCACATGCCTGAGTTTCATGCTGATCCCCAGTAGGGGGCGTGCACGAGACAGCCCATTGACGTTTCTCTCTCTTAAAAGAATCAAGAACACTTTTTTTAAATTTAATTTTACCCCCAAAAAAAGTCATGAGTGAGCCCTGGCAGATGTGGCTCAGTTGGTTCGGTGAAAGCATGCCAGGTTGGTTGGATTCTCGGGGCACATACCTGGGTTTTGGGTTTGATCCCCAGTAGGGGGTGTAGGTGATGTCTTGCTCTCATATGGATACTTTTCTTTTTCTCCTCTCTCTTCCTCTTTAAAAATAAATTTAAAATCTTTTTTTTTCCTCACCCGAGGACATTTTTGCATTTATCTTCAGATAGAGCAGGAGGGAGAGAGGGAGGAAGAGAGAGAGAAACCTCAATGTGAGAGAGACATATCGAATGGTTGCCACCCACACAACCCCAACTGGGACCGGGGACAAGCTGCAACTGAGGTACGTGCCCCTAGCAGCAACCGAACCCAGGCCTCTCCGGTCCAGAGGCCGACACTCTAACCGCTGAGCCAAACTGGCCAGGGCCAATTTAAAATCTTTTTAAAGAAAAGCCATAGATGAAACAATATATCAGAATGGTCTGCACATGGCAAAGGTGACTTTTCTGTTTCACATATATTTGGAATATCCATACATTGGGTTGCCATATGAAATGTGCTTCTTACAAGGGATCATGGTTTAAAAAATAAGTTTAAAAACACTCTGCCTAGCCCTGGCCAGTGTTGTTCAGAGGTTAAAGCATCAGTCCACAGGGTCTCGGGTTCGATTCCTGGTCAAGGTCACATGCCTGGCTTGTAGGTTCCACCCCCAGCCTGGTTAGGGCGTACAGAAGGCAACCAATTGATGTGTCCCTCTCACATCAATGTTTCTCACTCTGTTTTCCCCTCCCTTCCACTCTATCTAAAAACCAGTGAAAAAAAATATCCTTGGTTATTAACAAACAAACGAACACACTCTGCTTAGATGACACAGGTCCTGAGGAGCCAAGCGAGGACTAGCCCTTCCCCAGCTAGGCCAGCCAAGGCCCCCTGGGCCAGACACTTGCCGAGTCTCCCTGCTAGGCAGCGGGTGCGCCAAGCTGTCCCCATAAGGAAGCTCCCAGTGCTCAAAAGTGGAAACTGGTTTATTGAGTGTTTACTCTCAGCTCCTGGCTTGGGGGCAGGGGGGCAGGTCTGGAGCCCCTGCTCCCAACATCAGCATAGAGGCCTCAAGAAGACAGTACAGGCTCCCAATGGCCCCCAGCCACTTTCAGGCCAGAGAATTTCCACGCCCAGTGGTCTCCCCCACACTCCCCTGTCAGGGCTCAGCTTGGAATTTCTGATGTCACAGAGGCTAGAGGACTCCACTCGGTCAATGTGAGGTCTTGTTCCCATCTTGTCTCCAAAGCACAGGACTGGAAGATTCCTCCTGAGCGCCTCCTTCCTCAGGGCTCCGCCCCCACAACAGGTGGGTCTGTGCTTGTGTCTAGGGCCCAGAAAGCCAGCTTTGGGTGCTCTCTGAGTGTCTGAGGACGACAGGAGTCCAGGCTCCCCCAGATCCCAGGGTACCAGGGTTCTCCGCAACCAGGCTCAGGGATGCTTCCAGCGGGTGTGCTTCTGCAGTGTGTTCTGCTCCATAAATCGGCGCGGGCAGTACGGGCACTGAAACGGGCGCTCCCCGGAGTGAACGCGGCTGTGCTGGGCCAGCTCGCCGGCCTCGCGGAATCGGCGAGGGCAGAGCGGGCAGCCGTGAGGCCGCCCACCACCCGCCCGGTGAATGGAGTGGTGCCGCGCCAGGTGGCTGGCCCGCTTGAATGCCTTCCCACAGGTGTCGCACTCAAAGGGCTTCACCTCCGAGTGGGTGATACTGTGTCGCTGCAGGTAAGACATGTACTCGAAGACCCGGGAGCACACGGGACAGCTGTAGCACTTTTTCTGAGCGGCAGCCCCATCAGCCCCGGGCTGCCTCTGAGCCTCCTCGTCCACCAGCACCGTGTACGGGACGCCCTCGGTGTCAATGAGCAGGTAGTGATTGGGCCTCAGAGGGGACGAGGTCTGGGGAGATCCTGTGGAGGAGGAAGGTCCGGGTTCTGGGGACCGGCCTGTCCGAGGGGGAGGGTCCTCCATGGCCTCAGCGGAGGGCAGCGCTGGGGGCTGGAGGCAGGGTGCGCTCAGCACCAGCATCCGGAGGGTAGCTGAGGCCTGGTGGGTGGGAGAGAAGGGCAGGTTACGCGGAGGAGGGGCGCTCGGCCTCACCGCTCCATTCCCTCCCCTGTGCGGACCCAGAACTTCTGATCCTCCATCTCTCCTCCAGTCCTTGAGCCCTGGACTCTGAGACCCTCTGAGGCTCCTACAGTCTCCCTCCCTGAGAAACCCAGCTACCCTCCGTTCCTCACCCGCTGCAGGCACAACCAGGACCTCGCTGTCTGCCCCTCTGTGCCCTCCCCAGACCGCTGGGCGTCCCTCTACTCTGACCACCCACCCAACAGACCTCCCGGCCTCCCCGTCCCTTCACTGCTGCCCCTGACCCTACGCACTCCACCCAGAAGCCTGTCAACCCCTCTTTACACACCCAAGCCTTCTCAGTCGGCTGCTCCCTTGGGCCCCGTCCCGGCCGGCGCTGGCCACCTCCCTGCACACCTTGCCCGCCCCTGGCCGGCTACCTCCAGGCTCCCCGGTGCACGCCCGCCCACCCAGATCCCTCTAGGTCCTAGCTCCCTCGGGGCCCACCCGCGCCCGGCCTCCGGCCTCTCGGCCAGTTGTGGGCAGCGCCCGCCGGAGCCCGCGGAGCAGCCCAGCCCTCTCCGCCCCGCCCCGCCCCGCGCGCTGGTCCCGGCTCACCGGCCCCGCCCCTCCGCGGCCCGCGCCCGCCCGCCACCTCCCGGCCCCCGTACCCGGTGCAGCAGCCTCTTAGGTCCGGGCGACTCCGGAACGGCCCCGGCCCACCCCTGTGGTGACGGGCGGCGGTGGGACCGGGGCCTCTGCGGACCCCCAGAAGCTGGCGGAGCCGCTAAGGGGACTGTGGACGGGGGACAGAGAAGAGGGTCCAGGGGAGGAAGGGGAGCGGGGCGCTCGGGCCTTCGGGAAACGGCTCCGGCGAGAAACGCACACCGACATAAAGGTTCCCAGGGGCTTCCGACCCGATCTCCACACTCCACCTGGTGTTCCCCCGCCCCACACGCAAAGAAGAACCCTAAAGTGAAGTGCGGAATGTTTATTGAGTCAAGGGTGCGGGGCGTGGGTGGGAGGGGGCGATACAGAAAGGAGCCGTGCCCTTGTTAAATCTTCCACGCGGATAACCGTTCACCACTTCGGAGAAAACCAGGGCTCAGAGAGGTTAAGTCACTTGCAAAGGCTCACACAGCACAGCTGGACTGGAACCCAGTTGCGACTGGCTCCCAGACCCAGGGAAGGGCACGACTTGATCTACATCACACAGCTAGGGGGACAGGGAAGGGATGAAGGAAGGAATGACGTTTCTCCCTTTGGGTGGTTAGGGAAACTGAGGCCCAGGGTAAGGCAGTAGCTTCAGCAGAGCCAGGGAGTGTGTGTGGTTGTGCCGCTGTGTGGGTCGGACGCCGAGGTCTGGACTTAGTGGAGGCGCACGTGCTGCGCCAGCTCCGAGGCGTCCTGGAAGCGGCGCGGGCACAGCGGGCACGTGTGCGGTGGGCCCGAGCGGGCACGGTGCGTGGCGCGGTGCCGGGACAGGTGGCTGGAGCGCTTGAAGGCCTTGCCGCAGGCACCGCACGTGAAGGGCTTGAGGTCCGAGTGCGATACACGGTGGCTTTGCAGCCGCAGGGGGCTGGCAAAGACACGGGCGCACTCCGGGCAACTGTAGCCCTTGCGAGGGGGGGGTTCCACCGGAGGTGCCTCGCGCGGGGGTGGGCTCCGGGGCTCCTCCTCCAGTGGCACCGTGTACGTGTAGGGAACCCCGTTGGCGTCGATGAGCAGGTGGCGGCCCAGCAGCGGGGGTCGGGGCCCCGCCACGGAGGAAGGAGTAGAGGAAGGGCCTTCCGTCTTGGGGAAAGGGGGAGCCTTGGGGGACGGTGGGTCCATGGCCTCCGGAGAGGAGGGCCGAGGGTGGGGTGGCCGCGGGGGCAGCAGCAGCATCTGGAGCGGCAACTGGGAGCGGCGAGGAGGGAGAGAAGTTAACGTCGCCACTTCCTAAGGAAGAGCGTGCCCCTTCTCACTGCTACTCTTCGGCACCACTGACCTACCTCCCTACGGAAAAGAAACTGACTCCAGGCCAGATCTCCAAGGTTCCAAACTGCTTCGGATGCCTCCGACTGAGTGCACACCCATGCTCCAACCTGCCTTCGCTGGGTCCTCCTCTCGGCCCCCGACCCCACTAACGGGCATCACCCTGCCACTTCCCTGCCCCACAACAGTGAACCGACGTCCACGTCTACTTCCCCTCTTTACTTCTTTTTTGTTTCTTTTATCTCAGGCCCCAGGCATCTTCGGAGTTTTTGCAAAGGGTCGCTTGCTTCCTCTTCTTCCCAGCCCTCAGGACACGTTCGCTCGGCCCTACCAGGCCCTCCAGGATTTCCATCCCCTCCAGGTGCGCTGTAAATCCTCCCCATCTCTAGGGACGTCCGTGTCCTCTGTTTCCTCTCCAGATACATCCTCTGAGCCCAACTAACCCAGTTCCCCACTTTTCACTCCGGTTCCTATACCCTGTTCCTGCCCTGAGCACCCCTCGCTCTCCACATCCTCGCTCCACTCCCTCCGTACTGTCTGCACTTCGTGTCTGCGTCCCCGGGACCCTCAGCTGTCTGCTTTCTAAGTACCCTGCGGCTCCTGCATCCCCCAGCCCCACCAGTGGTCCCTCACACACAAGCCACTGCCATCTTCGCTTCTTCCCTCCCCCTCCTGGTCACACACGCCAGGGGCTCCGGGGTCCCTTTCCCAAACTACCTCTCCCAAGCCCCCTTCGCCCCCCCTTCTCAGTGCAGCTGGCATCTTCATTTCTCCGCCCCTCGCCCCGCTATACCCAGCACGGCCCTCCACCCCTTCCCCGCTGCACCCTGGGGTCCCCTCGCCCCCTCCATTCTGCAGGTGTCTCCGTCCCCGCCCCACCCCCACCCCCACCCCCACCCCCACCCGGGAGCGCCAGCCCCTCCCCCGCCCTGCCCGGCCCGGCTCGCGCGGTCCCGGGGCCAGGCTCCTCCCTCCGTCCCGGCCCCCGTACCCAGTGCGACGGCCTCTCGGGTCCGGAGGAGAGGGCCGAAGTCCCGGGAGGCCCGGGCTTCCCCTCGAGAGTGCCGGCGGCGACGGACCGAGACTTCCGGGAGCTCCGGGCCGGCGGCGCCGGGGACGCGAGCGCGGGGGCCGCGGGGGCGCTAGGGGCGGCGGCGTCCCTGGGAAAGGGCGCCGGCTGGAAACGCGCGCGCTACCACGAAGGTTCCGCCGCCCCAGAACGGGCCGCTCCCCACTGCCCGCCTTTATTGAGCGCCCGGGGAGGGGAGTGAGGGCGCAGGAACCACAGAAGCCCGCCCCCTGCTCCCTTCCCAGCCCCGACAGCCCCAGGACTGTTAGGTCGCTGTGACAGTGATCGATTTATAAACTGGGGATAGGCGCGGTGAGTCGGCCCGAAGTTCCAGGCACGCCCAGGTTGTTCCCTTTCCACTGGGTGGTCCGACCTGCGCCCCCTATCCACCAATGCCCAGGGCGGGAGGGACGTGTCTGTCGGTGGGACAAATGGGGACACCGAGGTCCAGAAGCTGGCCATTGGTTCTGATGTGGCACAGCATATGGGGAAACTGATTTTTCCGCCCAGCATGTGGAGAAACTGAGGCCCCGAGAAGGCCAGACATAGCTGGATAGAGAGGAGGGGGACATGTGGTACTTCCCACTGGGCAGGGAAACTTGAGGCCCAAGAAATAGCAGCTGCCCTGTCTTGATGGCACCCGGCACAAAGCGCAGTGTGGTTGTGTGTGTGTGTGTGTTGGGGGGGGGGGGTGTCAGAGGCAGAGAACTGGCGCCGGCAGGTAGGTGGAGGTCGCGCCAGGGGACGGAAGCTTTTGAAGTCCCCGCCAAGGGCTTGAGCGTGGAGTGCGACTGTCGTGCCGACGCAGGTACACGCGAGAAGCGCACTTAGGGGCGGCCTTCGGGGTCCACTGTTTTTCGGCGGCGGTACCGCATTACACCTGAAGGGAGGGTGCAACTAGGAGTGCAGGAGGGAGAAAAGAGGCCTTATTGTCGGGTCCAGTCCGGGCACCCCAGAAGGTGGCCAGAACTGTGCCCTGGAGAGCTGTCAAAAGAACTTGCTGCGATGATGAACAGGATCTGTGATCCACGCGCTGTCCAGTGAGAGCCTCTAGCCACTGGCACTTCTGCGCACTGGATATGTGGCTAGTGCAGCTGAGGACCAGGATTTAAATTGTTCTTTATCTTAATTTAAATGTAAAAAGCCACACGTAGCTCATGACTGCTAGCCTTAGGGGACTGCTGCAAGCCACCTCCGAGAGCAAAGAAGGGCACCCAACAGATTCCAAGGCTTTGTAGTGAAGGAGTGTTGATCATCTCATGAATGACTTTTATATTGATTACATTTTGCAACGATAGGACTTAGGATATGTTGGGTTAAGTAAGAAATGTTGTTCAAGTCAACTTCACCGGTGCCTTTCCACTAGTTTTAGTGTGGCTCGCCTCCTGTTTCTACTGGACAGCTTTCGTCGAGAGGTGGGGACAGTGGAGAATGGGGGGGGGGGGTATGTTTGATTGAAAGGGGCAACCACCCCTTTTGTCCACACCAGGGATTCTGAACTTTGGCACTACTGACATCCTTTGTTGTGGGGCTGTCCTGTACGTTGTGGGATGTTGAGCAGCATCTCTGGCATTGACCCTCTAGATATGAGTAGTATCCTCCCAACTCCCCTTCCCATTGTGATAACATATTGCCAAATGTCCCCCAGGTGTTGACTTTGCTCCTGGTCTACACAACCACCCTTCCAGCCTAGTGGTCCCGATCCTCCTGAAAACGCTGGGACCCAGCCCAGCAGGAAGCGAAGGGAGCCAGAACAGGACCCCTCCATTCCTCATCCCAAGATCCGTGCACCCCTTATCTAACCCAGCAACACGGCCAGGGCACGACTTAGAGCCTCTCTAGCCGCCCAGAGATGTCTCGGCTGCGCCGGCCCCTCTAGCCCCGCGTCTCTATGGTCCAAGCACTTCCCTCTTGACATTGTTCGACGGCCGCTGTCCAGCGCCGACCTCTCGATGCGGTGACCACTCGGATCCAAACTCGGTGGGAACCGACCCAAGGGGCGGGCCCGAGCGATGGTGATGGACCCGGACAGCCCAGAACCCAGCTCCCACTCCCGCTCCTTCAGCCATTACGGCCAGACGTGGCCCCAGAAATCCGCCGGGGCGGGAAACAAACACCGCAAACATTGGTTCTGGGCGTCTGCGTGCCTCACTTCTCTGCGAAGGGAAAAACCAAAACAAAACCAGTCAATATAAAGTCACTGTTTGGCGACGAGACAGACCCAGAGGGAGGGAAGACAAAGGGGATGGCTTTTCTCCGAAAAGTCACTTTGTCCTTCCAGGCTCCAGAAGCCAGTCTTTCTACAATAAGTAAGACTACGCACAGAAAGACTTCCTACAAAAGAAAACAGGGTCGCTTCATACAGGAACAAAACCACAAAGAGCTAGGACTTGTCTGTTGCTACACAGCAAACACATAGGGCCAGAATTATGCAGTCCATGGGACACCTGAGGAAACCCGGGCCTTGAGACTCTGCGTTACAAGGCAAGAAAATAGCGTCAAGTATCATTCTGGTAAACCAAGACCAGGGAATGGGTGCTCACAGGCCCTGGGTCACAAAGTTAGTCAGGGCTGGCTGATATGATGCCAATCCCTCCACGGGACTGGAGTGCTGGAGGGAAATGATAACCAGATCACGGGTGCACCTGAATCTCTGGCCTCGGCCTCCACAGCCAGCTAGACAGCCCCTCCCTGACGGATACACCAACTCTTGGGAAGGTCAGGAGTAGGCAGCGGTGGCAGGGATTGCTGGAGCACCTTGAGGCCTTTCCACAGGGGCCACACACTTAGGACCAGAGTTCCAAGTGTGAGCTGCAATGCTGCACAAGGCTCCTGCAGGTTTGTAAGCACACAGGGCCGCAGGCCTGATGGGGTCTGGTCTACCCGCCTTTGCATCATCGTGAGCTGCTTCTCCAGCCACAGGATATGTGTAGAGCACCCCATGGCGGTCACTATGTAAATGACCATTTGAGCTTTGGAGCACAGTGGGGACAAAATGGGTGACCTGGGAGAGACAAGGAAAAAGCAAGATAACAGATGTCTTTGCAGTTTGGCAAATCACTACCATCAGGCTGCTGATAGGGAGGAGATAATTCATTTCTGTTTTACAGATGAGTTATTGAAGACAGAGTAAACACTCCAGTCACAAAGTCCACCCAGTGCTGAGTTAAAACCCAGGGCCCTTCCTCTTGGGTGAGACTAAAGGGGACAAGGAGACAGGTAACCACCCTGGGAAGTGAGAACATCTTTCTCCTGCTTCCCTGCCACCCGCAGACTTCCAGCACATTCCACAGTTGGAGATCACTCAGTCTTGGGTACAGCAGCCCAGAAATGAGTGCAGCCTTGTCCATTAAAGAACCAGAGCCTAGTTCTGTAGCTGAGAATCCCCCAGCTGGGGAAAATGGCCAGATTGCTCAAAAAGGCATCAGTGTTGTGCTCATATCAGTAACAGACTCAGTCTCCCCTGAGCACCAGGATGTGCTGAGCCAGCTCCCCCATAATCCTGAATCACCAGGACAGAGGAACAGGTATAGGAAGCCTAGGGGGTGAGCAGGTGCTGGCGAAGACTACTGGATCACTTGAAGACAGAACCCTCACAGACAGAGTGCTGGATGTCGGCATGAGGGAGGCTATGGGTCCTGGGACAGAAAGCATCTGGAAGACCTGCAGGCACTCAGGGCAGCTATGAACGTGGTGGAGTCAGCTCCACTGACTTCCTGGTTGTCACCTCCACTTCTACTGAGTATGCGTACATGTACCATATGTCAATGACCAGGTAATGGCCTTGGCTTGGGGCAGGAGGTAAGCCTGAAGACCCAGAGGGAGGAGGAGGGGCTAACTCAGGGAGAAGTAGTTGCTGGGAGTAGGAAAATCCGAAGTTCTGGAAGATGAACTCACAGTCATCCCTGAAACCAGAGAATTGGCTAAAGGAAGGACAACCGCATTAACTGAAGGTGGGGAAAGGTTAGCTAAGGGTTGAGTCGACTACAGGACCTGCCTATATCCCCCAGTCTTTGCTACCTACATCATCCTCCATCCTCTACTCCTTAAACTCCTCATCTCTCCAGGAAACTGGAGGATTTTCCATAGCCCTGTCTGTGCCCAAACTCTACACTTTCTAATTCACTATTTCTCCGTGCTCCCAGGAATGGCACAGGCATCTTGCATCCATCCACCGAGTGCTGCGATGTGTGCTGAGGGTCTTACACACCCCTAGTATCTGTGTGAAACATAGATTTCTTTACTACATTGCCCTCCATCCCCCCTCACAAGCCCCTAGCAGGTTTTCTCTTTCCTGCATCTCTATCACACCCCACTGGGTAAGATCTCTTCTAAGATTTCCCCCAGAGTCCCTGTCTTTATTTCCCCAACACCAAGATCTCTTCCTTTTAGGCTTGTCCTGTGACACCAATGAAGTGTTTTCACCTCCACAGAAGTCTGTCACCTCCAAAAGCCTGTATTCAGCCCACTCCATCACCTCCCACAGACCCTCTCCAAGGCCATCACCCCCTAATCCCGAGTCAATCAGCTCTGGTCCCCAGGATGCCCACGGGAGCATCGCCCCAAACTCTCTGGGGGACCCTCCACCTTACGCTCCACGACCCCTGCTCCAGGAATGACCCTTTCCGTCCATGCGGGATGCGGAGCGGCCGCCCGGGCTCTGTTCCCGCGGACGCAGTAGGCGGTGGGACCGGACCTCTTGGGCCGTCGGGCTCCAAACCACAAGAAGACAGGAGGTGTTCACGTGAAAGTCGTTCGCCGGAAACACAGTCTCAAAGGAAGGGTTCCAAGAGCTTCTAGTTCCGCCGACCTGAATCTCAGTGGTTCTGCGCAAAAAATACTTGTTAAGTGCCTCCTATATGCCATATTCTGGGGCTAAAAGGGGGAGCTAAGCAGACCGAAGTCGTCCCTGCCTTTCTTCCCCTTAGAGGAGACAAATCGTATTTTTATTGGATGCATGCTGCAACAAGGAACTCTCCTAGGCCTCTTGGGGGCGACAAAGACCAAAGTATGCATAGACATAGCTCTGAGCGCCCGAGAGAACCAGGCAGGGATGACATAATTAGAAGACTGAAATTCAGAGATGGGCATAGACACGTTCAACACCACTAAAAAAATATTGTATACGTCGAGACTAAATTTCTAAGGAAAAAGTCCTTTAGTGTCTCAAATTTAACTGAGGCCCATGAAGTTAATGAAGCTTAAGCCTCTGAGGATCTTCACTAGCACAAGTCCTTTCCTGGGTAATGAGTGTGGGCAATTCAAAGCAGGTAAGATTATCAAACTGCTCAACAGGAATCACAAAGAATATATGCACCCCTATGTTCATAGCTAAGATCTGGAAACACCCCAAGTGCCCATCAGTAGATAAGTAGTTAGAAAGGCTGTGGCACACGTACACAGTGAAATACTATGTGGCTGTAAAAAAAAAAAAAAAAAAAAAAAAAAGGATATCTTGCCCTTTGCAAAACAGTATGGATGGGCCTGGAGATAATTATGCTAAGCAAAATAAGTCAGTCAGAGAAAGACAAATATCATATAATCTCACTTATATGTAGAATCTAATGAACAAAATAAACTGACAAACAAAACAGGTCCAGAGACACGGAACACTGACAGATTCCAGAGGGGAGGGGCATGGGGGAATGAGAAGAGAGTAACCAAAGAACATATATGCATAGCGCATAGAAACATACAATACTGAAGTAAAGGACTGGGGTGGGATGGGGCTGAGTGGAGGGGGCAAAGAGGGGTTGAAATGGGGGATATCTGTAATACTGTTAATAATTTTTAAAACGTCACATCTAACCTAGAAAAAAAGGATTATCAACTGCCCCCCCCCCAAAAAAAATTTGCAAAGCCTACACCAGATACATATAGGGCTAATGACACTTTTAGGAGCCCTTGAAAAAAATTTTAATTTTTAAATAAGAAAAGAATGTAATCCAGCTTGGTTTAGGTTTGTCTTTATACCAACACAGACATAAAATATGATTTTAAATATATCTTTTGGAAATGAGGGCCCCATGAAAGCACTGGGGACAGTGGCCAAGGCAGTATCATTTCATATATATAGCAAAATAAGAAAGACACTCATGGGAAAGAGAAACAGAAGATGCAAGCTCAACCTCAGGTTAGGAAGGGAGGAGAATGGGTGGGGATACACAGAGGGCTTAGATGTCATCTGTAATGCTGTATATTTTAAGTTTATTTGTGAGCACAGGGGGTTGTTTATATTATTTTGAATACTTTTTATATACAGAAATAGTTAATAATAAGATAAATATAAATAAAAGACTCCTTCTGTGTATTAGTCAAGATAGAATAGGGTATGCTGCAAACAGTCCCCAAACTCAGGGGCTGGATACAACAAATGTGTATTTTAAATGCTACATCTCCAAGGAGGATCAGCACCAGGTTGTGTTCACTGTAGACACTCTGGGAACTTAACTTCAACCAGCAGGTCCCCAAGCCTAGAACGGCAGGAAGGGGACATGGTGACTGCCCCGCTGGCTGTCACTGCGACAGCAAGCTGAAGTTGACACACACCACTTTCACTGATTGTTCATTGGCAAGACAAACAAATTTAAAAAACCACACACAAGACCACGTCTAACTGCAAAGGAAAGTGTAATCTTACCATGTTCCCTGAAGGAGGAGAAACAGGGGGTTTAGGAATGATGGTGATTTTTAGGCATGTCCTACGCTGCCCTTCCACAAAAACCATTTCGGGGTGCTCCAAAGGTCTTTCCAGTCTCTTTTCCCACTGGGTTTTCACAGCATCTCTACAGTTTTACACACGAGATGTACACGTGGTCCAGAGGAGTGTGGTGACTTCTCCAAGGTCACACAGCCAGGCCACGGAAGGAATAAGTGGATGACTAACAAGCGCCCAGCCCTGTCCTTAGTGCTGCCGAAAACGCTTCTTTTCCCGAACATGCGCCAACCTGCGGGTTTGCGCTACATCCCAGCACCACCAGCGTTGTGTTTGTAGAATATCTTTCTGTAAACGGACATAAAAATCCTCCTGTTGGTAAACTTTGCTTCACCGCGTGATCCCGAGCCACACAGAGCAGGTGACGTCAATAACATGCCGTGTGAACACGAAACAAAGGTTACTACATTCTGGAGGGGGTCGATTGACAGCCAGAGCCTATTAATGCGGGTTAAAAAGAGAAATACGAGTTAGGTCGCAACCCCCAGCGCCCCCCGCAGGTTGTCTCCTTGTGGGGGGCAGGTGACAGGTAATTTGGAAGGAAAGGCATCTTTCTCCCCTGGGTGGGGCTGCTCCAGCTACCTGGAAGCCCCGCCCACCTCCCGATGCGCCTGCGCCGCGGCTATGACGTCACCTCAAGCCCCGCCCCCTTCCAGAGAGACCAAGGGCCACGGGGGCGGGGTCTGGGCACAAGATGGCCGCCGAGCGCCCGGAGCCCCGGAGTCCGAGCTCAGCGGCCCGGGAGCCGCGCTCCCCGGAGCCGCCGGACCTGGTGCGAGCGAGGGAGGGACCTGGGTGGGGGGCCCCAGGTGGGAGGAGGCCACAGGGCAGGTGGCGGGGACGGGGTGGGGCCTATGAGAGCCGGGCGGGGGAGATATTTAGAGCTGTGGCCTGGGGGCGGGGTTTATCGTGTTGCGTGGTGGGCGTGGCCTACAAATGAGCCTATGGTGGTTGAGGGGTGGGGCCTAGGGGCGGGGCCTGAGGAGGGGCGGTGGAGAACATCTGGGCCTCCGACCAGTTCAAGAATTGAGTTTGTCTAATTAGGGGGCGGAACCTTTAGAGGGGCGGTGCCTCCGAGAGAATCTGGGGCTGGTGAACTTGGGTGAAAGGTTGGGAAGGTGATCTTGAAAGACAAGGGTTGGGGGTTTTGGGAGCACCCATATTGGGTTGGGGGGGTGATTCTGGAAGGGTCTGAGCGGTGCGTCTCCAAATGCCCAAGGGAGGATTTGGGGGGGAGAAATGACTGCTCCAGGTGACTCTGGGACCACTCTCAGGTTTCTCCACTCGGGACTGGAGAGTGAGAACATCCATTCAACAAACATTTATACTGAGCTCTGTTTACTTGGGGGTTCAGTAGATGGTAGGCGAACAAGGCAGATAAGTACTGTGCTCCCCGGAAGCTTTGCAGTCTAGTAGGGAGAGAGACTTTAAGGAGATTTATTGTGTTGTGTTTTAGAAAGGAAATAAAGACCGGCTGCTGGAGTGGGGGTGAGGGAGCTAAATTTAGACGAGAGCAGTCAGCTGTGTGCCGGCTTATATTTACACTGGGGTCAGAGAGATAAGCAGGAGCCAGGTCGCGATGGATATTACTAGGACGGTTTGGGATTTTTAAGCGCACTTTGAGCCACGGGAGCGTGTTGCGTGGGGAAAGGACTTGATCTGATTTCCATTTTCAAAAGGTCATTCGGGCGGCTTTGGCGAGGCGGGTGATAGGGAGCAGGCTAAGAACAGAGGTTCCTTTCAGGAGGCTTTTTCAGTCGTCAAGGCAAGAAATGACTGGCTTTTAATAGGAGTGGAGGAGGAGTCATGGCTGGGTCGTGATGTATGCTGGACCAGAGGGGAAGTCTTGATGCGGAAAGAGCAGGACCTAGAATTGAGGGGGCCCAGTATCCTACAAAGGAGATGGACGTTTGCAACAAGTGGGACCGTGTTGGGGAGGCCTTGAGGCAGGGTCCACAGCCTCCTCTTTTCTTCCCCCACCTCCCCAGGTCCTGGTGCCTGATGACAGCAGCCCCACCACACCCCCAACTGACGTCATTGAGATCCAGGTGGTGAAAGTGACAGACACCACTCTGGTACCAGAGCCCCCGGAGCCAGGTTCTCTTCACTGTGCCTTGTGCCCAGCTGCCTTCCGGCTGGTCTCCGAGTTGCTGTTCCATGAACATGGCCACCTGGCGGGGGCCGAGGGCGGCGGGCAGGGTGCGGATCCAAGCCGGTGTCATGTGTGTGGCCACAGCTGTCCGGGCCCCGCCAGCCTCCGCGCCCACTACAGCCTGCACACGGGAGAGCGCCCTTACCGCTGCCCGCTGTGCCCCCGGGCCTTCAAGGCTCTGGCGCCCCTGCTTCGACACCAGCACCGGCACGGGGTGGAGCCAGGTACCTCTCAGAGGCCCCCAGAGGTGGCAGCAGCGGCGGCTCGGGGCCAGGGGCCAGGGGTGCCCCCGGAGCGGTCGGAGGTGGTGATGGCGGCGGCGGCAGCGGGCGCAGCCGTGGGAAAGCCCTTCGCCTGCAGGTTCTGCGCCAAGCCGTTCCGCCGCTCCTCGGACATGCGCGACCACGAGCGAGTGCACACGGGCGAGCGGCCCTACCACTGTGGCGTCTGCGGCAAGGGCTTCACGCAGTCCTCGGTGCTGAGCGGCCACGCCCGCATCCACACCGGCGAGCGCCCCTTCCGCTGTGCGCTCTGCGATCGCACTTTCAACAACTCCTCCAACTTCCGCAAGCACCAGCGCACACACTTCCACGGCCCCGGGCCGGGACTCAGAGACTCCAGGAGCCAGCTGGCGGCGGGGATGGAGGGGCCAGGGGGTGGGCGTGGGGCGGGAAACACTTTAGAAGAGGGGCGTGGGCAGACAGCGACCATGAAGGTGGAGGTGGACCAATAAGTAGGCTGGTCAACACGGGAGGTAGGCAGCACATTGCAGAGGAGGGGTTGGGTGGGACAGGAGGCGAGTGGCGGATGAGGGGGGGAGAGGTGACACACGCCATGAGCAGCTAGTGTGGGAGAGCAGAGGAACAGCCACATTCAGGGCTTTCACCCACCCACCACTCAGACACAGAACGGCACAGACGCAGCCCAGTGGCTGTCCAGCTAGCTATATGCAAGGAAGGCAGGCTGGATGTCGTTGCCCCGTCTGCCTGCTCATTGAGTCGTCCTTGTCCTTGTGCAAGACAGCATGTCACAACAGAGCCTGCACCATACACAGGTGGAGCCCGGGCTGAGTGGAATGGCAGATCTAGGGTCTACCATAGTGCCCCTGGCCAGCCCTTCATCTGCTGAACCCTGAACTGTCTTGGGACCTAGGGTGGACCAGGATGAAATATTTTGCTACCTCACTGGGTTGCACTGAACATGGGAGGTCTACCCACCCACCCTCAGGCAGAAGTCACCCACTGGGTCCTCCATAAAGAGACTCTGGAATCCCATCACCTCAAGCCAGAGCGTCCCCAAGTCATAGCCTAGAGCACTTGAGCCTCAAGAATGTAAACCTGACCCATCGTAGGGATCTCGACTCCAAGAGCTGCTACCCATGTTCCTTCCCATGGTCGTCCCTTCTTAACCAACCAGAATCCTCTTCCAAGGCAACTGAAAATCCAGACAGCAGCTACCTACCGTCCCACTCCCAAAGCTTTAGTCTCAGAGACCCCAGCCTCCACCCGGGTCTACAAAGTAACCTCAGGTTTCTCTAATATCCACTCCCAGTTTGAAGCAAGCCGCTTACTGCCTGGCCCCAAGCTACCCCAAGGGAAGGGCCGGTGGATGGCCAGTGTGTGGTGGGGTGTGCAATGAGAGTGGGGTGGGGGGAGGACTTGGGAGCTGGGTGGGAAGCCTCCAGCTCTATTCCTATTAAAGGGCTTTCCTGAAGGCTTGTTCTATGTCGGCCTTGTGTTTGGGTTGTCTCTGCTGGGGGCCACACTCTGGTATTGCCACCAACAGTGAATTGCAGTGTACCTTTCTCCAAATCTCTTTAGAATGGGGTTGGACAGCAACTGGCTCTTCAGAGACGGAAGTGGTTCAGCTATGGGAGTGGGGGGCCAGGCATGGTTGGCAAGATGAAGGAACTCCTGTGATCAGTATGCGTACAAAGGAAGATCTCAGATTTGCTCACCCAACACTCCCTTGAGATATCCCTAAAACAAGTCATAACGTGAAACCTCTTTGTGTTTCCCCCAAAGAAATGCCCATGTAGCCCTGACTGGTTTTGTCCAGTGGTTAAAGCATTGGCCTGCGGTTCTGAGAGACCTGGGTTCAGTTCCCACTAAGGGCACGTACCTCAATTGCAGTTTGTCCCTGGCCCTGGTTGGGTCATGGGGGTGGCAACCACTCGATGTGTCCCTTTCACGTCGATGTTTCTCTCCCCCCCACCCCCACTCTATCTGAACAAAAAATGAAACAATGTCCTCGGGTGAGGATTAAAAAAAAAAGATACCCATGAATTTAAAAAAAAAAAAAAAGTCTGATCTTGGGAGAAATGCCCATGTTCCCTGTCTCCTGAAACCTGATTCAAAACCTGGGCAGGTCCCTTAAGTCATCACCCCTCATCCATTTATCTAATCCCCATCAATTTCCTGCTACTGAGCCAGTGAAATCTCTTGGGCACCCGAACGCTCCTTTTCACCATCACTACTCTTGTAGACCAAGCCAGCAGGGCCTCGCATCAGGATAACCATACAGCAGCCCAGCCTCCGGGCGCTGCCTTCCTTCTCCATCCCACAGCCACACTCATCCTTCAAAGCCACGGGTCCCGCCTCATCACCAACCCACAAGCTTTGATTAGGGATGGCCCATGTGCCTGCCTGAGGAGCCAGGTGGCAGTGTAAATTAAACGAGGAAGGTGGTGGGTTCAAGGGGCAATACAGCACATTCGAGGTGAAACGTGGAGACTGACATGGGCTCTGAGTTGGGATTGGGGGCATGGTAGGGGCTGGTGATAGATTGGAGAATGTGTGCCCATCTGAATGGCTACTGAGCTCGGAAGGGTGCAGGCTGGGTTAATGTGATAGTGTCTAATTCGTTCAGAAGTTGCAAAAGCTCGTATTATGTAAAATGGTTTGACGTTCAAATGTTGGCAACTAAGTCCAAGTTGTGTTGTTTTTTAAATGCATGGGCTAATCAAAATGTATCAGGGGCTTGGATCCAGCCTGGCAGCAGCCAGCTTCCAGGGTCCACCGGCCTCCACCATTTGGAATTCAAAGACCTTCAGGATCCAGCTTCCCACACCCCGACCCTTCCATCCATTCTAATCGAAACACCCAAATAGCCTGGTTTGGCCACACTGAACCCTCCACCTGGAATCCTTTGCCCATCTTACCTGGCTCTATGTCTTTGCTCAGGAATCACTTCCTCCAGGAAGCTGGTTTGGCCCCCAGTCTGAGAAGGTGACTCCTCTGTGCTCCCTCAGCCCATCTTTTGCAGTGTGCCGCTCCACACCCATGTGACTGGTGAGCCCTGGGACACTGGCACGCTGGGTCCTCAGCATTAGAGCATGGTGGCCACACTGGGTGGCCGCCTTTGTGTGTGTGGGTCAAACTGGACTCGCCCAGGCAGGCAGCGCCCCGAGCTGGCTTTGTCTTCATTTCACACTGAGGCATGTGCCACTGCAGTCCCAGCTGTGGCCTGGGCCTGCCAGGTGTCCTTGGAGCCTTTCGTCTCCAGGACCTCAGCCTCCTCTTGACAAATGGGATAAAATGCACTTGCATATCTCACTGTCTTGAGAATCCAAATGAGGACTGTGAAAGGGCTTTTGGAATGCCTCCAAATTACCAGGAGGGACAGGCAGTGAGTGAGCGGCAGAGGCCAACCATCTCACTGGGGGGCAAGGAGCATGTCTAGTTCGTGTTTCCCCAGGCCCAGCAAAGGGCCTGGCAGACAAGGGGCTTCAGGAAACGTTGGTTGTGAACAAATGCTGACGGCACCTCGAAGGGAAAGGCGTCTGGGCATGTTGTCAGTTCCTGACAGCAGAGATTCACCTGTCTTGGATGCAGCAATTACTCAGTAAATACCAGGGAGATGAGGTGGAGGATGGGGGGGAATAGAAATCCCAGGGAAACAGAAAGCATTCTCACCCTTGCATTTGCCAGCACTTAATCCCCTCTCCCCAGGAGGTAAGAAAGGAGTCCATCACCCTGGTGATAAGGTTTATTATCTCTGCTCTGTACAAGCCGCGTCTGCCACCCCGCCCCCCACCCCACAATCCAAAAGAGCACCCAGGCCCCTTTGTGCCCTCCCAATTCCGCTCATATCCCACAGTCCAGCTGGAACCCAAGGAAGGGGAAGGGCAGTTCATACCCACCTCCACCGAGGCTTGTGGGGGACAGAATGCTGCTGGAGCAGGGGGGCTGATGGGGTTACAAAACGGGGCTGTAGGGAGGATCAAGTTCAGTGTCAGATGGGATTAGAGGAGGGCCAGAGAGGTCCTGGTCGGGAGTGATTCAGCCTTCAGTTTGTACATCAAACTGGCCTGGAAGGAGGCTAGTCTGTCTGAATTTCTGAAAGATGGAGGGGGAAACAGTGGGGAGCGGGCAGTCTGACCTGCGGCCGGGGAGGGGCGAGTCTGGAAGGGGTCATCTGAATGGAGTGGCGAATGAGAAGCCCACCTGGTCAGGCCTCCTTCCCGGCCAAGGTGCCGGCCCCTGCTCCAGGCCCCCCAAGGCCCTCCGCCTTGTGCGCCAGGCGGTGTTTCTTGAGGCCGTAGGTGTTGGCGAAACCCTCCCCGCAGGAGGAGCAGCGGAAGGGCCGGCCGCCCTGGTGGGCCGCCAGGTGCTTGCGGAAGTAGCCAGGATCCTTGAAGGCCTTGAGGCAGGCGGGGCAACGGAGCTCAGGCCGCGGCGGCTCGTGGGCACGTTGGTGGCGCAGCACAGAGCTCAGGTAGAAGAAGCCCTTACCGCAGTGCTCGCATCGGTACGCGCGCTCACCCAGGTGCAGCCGCTGGTGCTCCAGCAGGTTGGAGCGGTAGCGGAAGGTCTTGCCGCAGGCCCCGCAGCGCTGGGGCCGGGCCACGGCGTGTAGCCGCCGGTGCTCTGCCAGGCTGGATGACTGGGCAAACCGCTTGGCGCACACGCCACACTTAAAGGCTCGCTCACCCGTGTGCACCACGCGGTGCTGTCGCAAGTACCAGGAGCGCAGGAAGCCTCGGCCGCACACGCCACACCGGTAGGGCCGCTGCTCCGTGTGGCAGCGTTGGTGGCGCATCAGCAGAGCTGCCTCCCAGAAGCGCTTGCCGCACACCGGGCAGCGGAAGCCCCGCTTCTGCCGGTGGCTGCGCCGGTGCAGGAGCAGGTCATAGGCACCAGCGAAGCTCTGGCCACAAAGGCCGCAGCCCAGGGTCCGCCGCACCAGGTGCACGTACTTGTGAGTGACCAGGCCCAGGAAGTGCTTGAAGCTCTGGCCGCAAGTGGCACAGCTGAAGCGTTCAGGGCCTGAGCTGGCGCCCCCACTGCCCCCAGTGCCCCCCGCGCTGCCGGCGTCATCGCCCCCAGACACCCCTGCCAGCGCCGCCACGGCCGCCCCCACTTCCCCTGCCAGCCCGTTGTCCAGCACGTTGGCTGCCTCGGCGCCACCAGAGCCATCCGCGGGCTGCTGGCCACTGGTTGTGGGCGGGAGCAGGCGCTCGGGGGCGGCCTGGTGCACCAGCTTGTGCCACATGAGGTTCTCAATGAAGCCGAAGGTCTTGCCACAGGCATCACAACCGTAGGGCTTCTCCGTCATGTGGGCCTCTTTGTGGCTCATGACATGGAAGAGATCTGGGAAGTGCTCACCGCAGTCCGAGCAGGCATAGCTCAGGCCCTCGGCGGCCCCCGTGGCCGTGGCCGAGGAGCCTGGGCCGCAGGCCCCGGGCGCGCCCTGGGTGGTGGGGAGGCCCGCGGCCCCGGCCAGGGCACAGGGCAGCTGCAGCCGGTGCACTTGGCGGTGGCGCGTCAGACTTTGCGGGTAGCCGAAGACCTTGCCACAGAGCTCACACTTGTAGGGGCGCTCGCGGGTGTGTACCACGTGGTGCTTGCTCAGGTGGAAGGATTCGCGGAAGCGCTTTCCACACACGGGACACTGGTGTGGCTTCTCGCCCGTGTGGATACGCTCGTGGCGCTTCAGGGTCTCGCGGCGCCCGAAGCCACGCCCACAGATTCCGCAGCAGAAAGTCTTTCCAGGGCCGCTGGCGCCTGTACCACCTGCCCCGCTGGTCCCTGCCCCGAGCAGCAGAGGGTGCGCACCTAGAAGCGGCACGGGCATGGCCCCGTAAACCACGGCTGCTGCAGCCGCCGCCGCCTTCTCACTGTCGGTGGCAGGGGTGTCGGGTGGCAGCAGGTAGGGGCCCGGGGGAAAGGTGGGCGCGGGCTGCGAAACGGCAGCCGCTGCATCCTTGGGCGCATCAGGGGTGGCGGGCGGTGCGTGTGCCGCCTTGTGGCGGAGCAGGCTCTGCGGTGCCGAGTAGGACTTGCCACACAGGTCGCAGGGGTACACGGGCCGGGGTCCCGCAGCGCCCGCGTGCGCCGCCTGGTGCTTGAGTAGGTAGGCAGCGTCGCGAAAGGCCTTGCCACAGACGCCGCAGGGCAGGCGCAGCAGGTCGGCCGAGTGGGTCTTCACATGGCGCTTAAGGCTCTCCCTGCGGTTGAAGCTCTTGCTGCACACGGAGCACGAGAAGGGCTTCTCTCCTGTGTGGATTATCTGATGCTGGTGCAGATGGCTGGGCTTCTTGAAGACCTTCCAGCAGAGCGGACAGGCGAAGGGGCCCTCACCGCTACCCGCAGCCGGAGGGGGCGCCCCTACACTTGCCGCTGCGCCTGGGGCTGCGTTTCCTTCCACAGAGGCGGCGGGGGCGGTGACTGTGGACGGAGGGCCCGCAGGGACTGGCGTGGGGGCGCCTGCAGCGGCAGGGGGAGCAGGCAGGCCCAATGGTGGAAGGGTCGCACCTGGTTGCGGTGGGACCCCGGCGGCGGGCTGAGCGTCCTTGTGGCAGCGGCGGTGGCGGATGAGGCTGGAGACGTGGTTGTAGGTACGGCCACAGACGCCACACTCATAAGGCCTCTCCCCGGAGTGCACCAGCATGTGCTGGACCAGGTGCGAGGACTGCTTGAAGGACTTCTGGCACACACCGCACGGGAAGCGCCGCTCCATCAGGTACTTCAGCCTCCGGAAGTAGCCCTTGTCGTCCTTGGTGGGGTCGCAGGCCGCCCCTGCAACGGGGCCCGGCGGGGTCTGCGAAGGGGCAGGGAGCGGCCCAGGTGTCCCAGCTGCAGTGGCCAGCCCTGGCGTCACCCCGGGTCCGGATGCGGGCCCTCCACGTTTCAGGTTCCCAAACAGGTGTTGGTGTCCTGAGAGGTCCACGATGCCCCACTGGGGGGCGGGGAAGGCAGCATCAAAAAGGGGCGGCGGGGGTGCCCCGAAGGCGGGAGGCAAGGGCGGGTCAGGCTTCTTGGCTTGGGAGGACGACGACGAGGACGAAGAGGACGAAGAGGAGGAGGACGATGAGGATGAAGGCGTCTCGGCCTTGGGCTTGAAGGTGGCCTGGGGTGGGTAGTCGTACTGGGGCGGCGGGGGCTGCGGAGGAGGCTGCGGAGGGGGCCCGGGGGTGCAGGGCAGGGCCGCCACCGCTTTGGCATGCTCCCCATACAGCTCCATGGGCTCGAAGCGCTGGTGGTTGAGGAACTCCAGGAAGTCGAAGGGATAGCTCTGGAAGTGCACCCCGTCCTCGCCCCCAATGCCGCCACCGATGCCGCCGCCCCCGGTGCTGCTGCCTGCCGCGTTAGCCTCCATCTCAGCCGGCTGGGATGTGAGACCTTGCAGAGAAAAGGATGCAGCTGAGCAAGCAGGAGGGGCGCATGCCCCCCCCCCCAAGGGGCTGTGTCTGCTGGGGACTGACATCCACCCCGCCGTCTTCTCCAGGTCCTCACACATCTCTGTCCCCCAGACGCTGTATCCCCAGTACTGCCTACAGGCCCCTCCTTTCTCTCTGTCCCAGACCCTAATTCTCCTCAGGCCCCTCAGGTTCTGTGCAATCATAAGAACTGTTCCTGTCAGAGTGATTAAGAAGGTGGCCTCCAGAGCCAGAACTGCAGTCCAGCTGTGTGACCACCGGCAAGTTCCTGAACCTTTCTGTGCCTGGATTTCCTCATCCACGGAGCACACCCCTACTTCACAGGGCTGCCAGGAGGATCCAAGGAGCTAAAATAACCACGAGCCCCTCCCAGTGAGGGTTCCTGGCACCTGTGTGAGCACTCGATAACTGGAGGGTATTATACTGTCGGCGCTGTCACTACTGGAGGAACAGACAGCATAACCTGAGGGCACTGGAATGAAGATAGGGTTGGGAGGGTGGGAAGGAGAATCTGCTGGCCTGGGACACACAGGTTACAGCAGAGGGAAGGCAGCCAGACGCAGCAGGAACATGTGGCCCTGGGCCTGGGCACACCTGGATTCAGGTCCCATCTCCTTACCACACTCTCTCCACTTCTGAAGGGGTGGGCACCCCTAGACTGCAGGGAGTTTAAGGGGCTGACACAGCACATGAGGAAAGGCACTGATTGGCAGAGTTCACTGGGTCCCTAGAGCTCTTTGTACTTTCAGTGATGTCACTCGCCTGGGCAGAGCCTGATGACAGCAGCTCAGAGAGCCTTGTCCTGCCCCCTCCTGGATAGTGGTCATTGTCTGGGCATCTCCTTTACGAGCCTGTTCATTCCAGACTGCAGCTGTCCATGTCTGGGCAGCTCCCCTCTGCCCCCACCTCGGCTCCTGCGATTGATTCCGGAGCCTTGGACCCACACCAGGGCCTCTGCAAACGCCTTGCTGAGTCTGAGGGAGCCAATAAGAAAGCCCCCAAGGTCTGGTGAGCTTCTCAGCCACTGTCCCTGTGCCTGAGGGCCTGGCTTTACACCTAGCCTGTGGAAGGAGTCGGTGGTGCCCACCAAGGCCAGGGCATGTCAGCTCCCATCCATCAGGCTGGCTCCCTCCCCCTCAGGTGAAAGGTGAGTGTCTCCTCCACCCCCCAACCCTCCCAGGGGTGATATTTTTAGCCACCAGCGCTGGGTGTCCTTGGAGGAGACCCAACATCCTATGTCCTTCACACCCTCTGGTTCATGTCATCTCCGGAAGGAGCAAAGGTGTGGCTGGTGTGGGAGCAGAGCCTGGGGTGGAACTTCGGTGGGGAGACAGGGCTGGAGTGGCAGGTGGGCATGGAGGAAGCAGGTGGTAGAGGGGTGCAAGGAGGAGGGGCAGGACGGAAGGTATCTTGGGGAATAAGCCATTGCTCCGGCTCACCTCCACCGGAGGGCACATTACTAACTGCTACCCTTGACTGGGCACACTGTACAGGCCACCCACTGTTCTGAGCACATTATGCATGTTAACTCACTGAATCACCACCACAACTCGACAAGACTACGACACAGGGGCTATGGTTATCCCCACTTGACAGATGAGAAGACAAGGTAGAGAGAGGTCAAATGACTTGTCTAAGGTCACTTAGTAAGTCCCCAAAGGGCGTTTCCTGAGGTGAAGAAAGTAAGGGGTGGAACTGTGGGGGTAAAGCCCTTATTTGGGGATGCTCCCTGGATTGCAAGGGGCCCAGTGGGAGAGGGAGGTGGTCATCATCTTTAGCAGACAGAACAGTGATGTGGTGAGATCATGCCCTCTGCCTGGAATGTTCTTCCCCATATCTCAAGGTTCTCTCCTGCCTCCTTCAGGTCTCTGCTCTGATGTCACCTCCAAGAGATGTGACAGCCCCTTACCTCATCACCTGCTATCCCCTCGTCCTGCTGCTGTTTTCATCATGGTCACCACCACTGATTTACTGAGTCTATTTCTTTTTTTTTTTTAATTGCCCTTGACCAGGAATCGAACTTGTGACTCTTCAGTCGGCAGGCCAATGCTCTAATCACTGAGCCAAACTGGCCAGGGCTACTGTGTCTATTTCATTTGCTAAGTGTTTCCTGTCTGGCCCTTGCATTTAACAGCAAGAACTGCCTGCCTCGTTTGCTACTGTGCCCCCGCAGTGTGCTAACACAGTGCCTGGCACAGTGTGGGTACTCCATCAACATCTGAAAATATGTGGGAATGAAACAGCACCCTCCTAAATCACTAGTGGGTCCACGAAGAAATCACCAGTGAAGTTAGATGCATGGAAATGGAAACATAACATATTTGAGGATGTAGCTAAAGCTGTGCTCAAAGGTAAATTTATAGCTGTAAATGCCTATATTGACAAATATTTGAAGAATGAGTGAAAGGATGAGACTAAGGTGACCAGAACTCCCTGATGAAGGGAGAGGGACATTTAGCAGCATCTCAGCTGACACTGAAGTGGATCCCTAGGAGAAGGAATCGGGATGGTGATGTTATGAGGGCAGGTGGGAAGATGCTAAAGGGCTGTGAGTCAGAGAGGAGCAGGTGGTGTTCCTGGGGACAGGACTGATCAAGCTCATGATTATTCCACCAGGAAGTAAGAGACATTTCTGCTGTCAGGGCACCCAAGACTTACATTGGTGTCTTTCTAAAGAGAGATGTATCATGGGAGGGTTTCCTGAAAAGGCATGATCGGGAAATGGTCTCAAGGGGCAGGAATCCCACAGCAACCACAGCCACACTCCTAACAGCTAATGTTTATTGTCTGACCAGATTGATAGGAACCATTGCCTTGATACATCACAATAGTCCTGTGCCATTATTGGTCCCATTTTAAAAGTGGGGAAGCTAAGGAAAGGGGGTTTGTTTCCCCAAGATCATAGAGCCAGCAAAGAGGAAAGCAGGTACGGGACTCCAAGTCTCTGAGGCCAGGACCTGTGGGCCGTTCCCCTATAACAAGCTGCCTTGTGATAAAATTCTAGCTTGTTAGTAACAATGGTAACATCTAGTACCTTGTAACACTGAATGAGTACTTTCTATGTACCAAGTACAAGTCTAAATCCTTTACGGTGTCCACTCAATGAATCTTCCCAATAATCCTACAAGATGGTTACAATTATTAACTGTTTCACAGAGAAAGAGACTGAGGGCCAGAGAAGTAGATTAATCTGAAGTCACACTACTAACAGGCAGCAGGGCCAGGGATTAAAGGCAGGTAGTGGGGCTCCACAGTGTGTGATCTTACCCCCTACATGCTGCCTTTCAATTTCTCCAAAATAAAGGAAGGTCTCCACTCTACCTTACACTGCAAATATACTTTGTCTCATCCACTTCCCTACCACCAATCCCCAGGAATAGCCACCGGGATTTATTGAATACTAACAAGCATTACACTAGGTTCCTTATGTGGTTTGTCTCAATCAAACTTCCTAACAGACTCACACGATAATTCACAGGCAGGAGGACTAAGGCCAAACTATACCCCTCCTCTGCTCAAACCTGGCAGTGACCCCATCTCACTCAAAGTCCTTTTGATGACCTAAATAGCATCCCACCCCCACCCCTAGGCCTCCTGGCTGCTCCGCCAATGTGCCAGCTACTCTCCTGCCCCAGGCCTTTGCAATTGCTGTTGCTTCTGACCCTGAATGCTCTGACTCACCCTCTAACCTCCCTCAAGTCTTTGCTCAAATGTCATCTTCTCAGTGAGACTCCCCATGAGCCCCATAATCTGTCACCCAGACAAACACTCCTGCTCTCCCCAAACCACTTCATTTCTCCCCTTTCCAATCAGCATCACCTAATAAACCATAAACCATATATTCTGTTTGTTTGTCTTGGTGGTGGTGGTCTCCCCCTCTAGAAGGTGGGCTCCATGCATGCAAGGATCTTTATTTCATTTGTTCTAATCACTGATCTATCCCCAGGACCCAGCACAGTACCTGTCTCCAAACATACTTGTTAAATACATGAGAATGAGGCTAGAAAAAGAGGGAGTGGTTAGCTCAACAATATGAACACCAGTGGCATCCAGGGTTCACCCTTTTTTTTTTTTTTTTTAAATTTTCTTCCTTTATTAATTTTAGAGAGAGGAAGGGAGAAGGAGAGGGAGGTAAAAACATCGATGAGAGAGAACATCAATTGGCCGCCTCCTGCATGCACCTCACTGGGAATTTGGCCCACAACCTGGGCATGTGCCCTGACCGGGAGTTGAACCGGCGACCTCTTGGTGCATGGGTTGACACTCAACCACTGAGCCACACCAGTTGGGCCAGGGTTCATCTCTTTAACCATTTCATTCTTGGGGGAAGGGAGCTAAGAGCTGCCCCTAGGGTGGGCTACATTTGTCCTGGAGGAGGGGGTAACTTTTTGGTATATGACTTTCTGGAAGGACAAGATGTCGACAGGAAATTCTTGAAAGAATTTCCTGCCACCCTCCAACACTGCAGTCCCTGTAACACTATACCCTTATCCTGCTGTATTTTCTTCACGCACATGTATTTTCTTTTTCAACTGTCTACCCCATGAACTAGCACATGCACTCCATGAGGGCAAAGGGTTCTGTCTATTCTGTCCTCTGTTGCATGTCCAGTGTGTAGTAGGTGCTCATTGAAAGCTGTTGAACAAATGAATGAAATACATTCTGGGCTTGGTAGGGCAGACAAAGGCCAGTTCACTGATTACAATCCCATCATCTCCACAGCCCTCTCTGATCACACATTCCCTCCCCTCATTCCCATCTCATGGGCTTCCCCGGCCGCTCCTCCATTCACGATGATCATGCCCACCTCAGGACCTTTGCACTGCTCTTCCCTCTGCCTGCGACAGCCCACCCAGATATTTTCATGGCTAAGTGAGCTCTGTTAATTCAAGATGTACCTCTGAAGTAGCTACCAGGCTCTCAGAAAACACAATTGATCATATTTGTTTACATGTTTTTTTTTTGTTTGTTTTTTTTTAATCCTCACCTGAGGACACTTTTCCATTTTTTGCACAGACAGAGTGGGAGGGAGACAGAGGAAGGGAGAGAGAGTGAGAAACATCGACCTGAAGGGACACATCGAGTGGCTGCCACCCGCACGACCAACCAGGGCCGGGGACAAACTGCAACCGAAGTACGTGCCCTTAGCGGGAACCGAACCCGGGTCTCTCCGGACCACAGGCCGACGCTCTAACCGCTGAGCCAAACTGGCCAGGGCTGTTTACATGTTTTTTATATATCTCCTCAACTAGACAGTAAAACCCACAAAAAAGACTGTGTGCACCTCTCTCCTTCACAGCTGTATGCCCCGGACCTAGATCAATGAAGATCGAGTGAATCAATACCAGGGGAGAAAGAGCTCCCACCCCAGTGAGGTTGGGGGGGTCTTCTCCAGGGAATCCAGGATGGAGTTAGAGCTGGGTGAGAAGGGGCAGGTTAGGACGAGGCTTCATGGACGGGTGCTGCCCTCTGGGACAGGAACCAACCACAGGACCTGACCTGGAGACAGATGAGTTGGGAGCCCGGGCTACACAGGCAGCTATTCCTACCAGAAGAGGGAGAGGATGTGGGTGTGAGAACACACCTCTAGAGGGAGCTGTTCTACGCGGAGAGGGTCTGGGGGTGTTGAAAGGGGTATTTTCAAGAGGAATTACTGGGGAGGAGGGTGGTGCAGAAGGGAAAAAAAAAGGCATTCTTGGCTGCTAACCAGAAGAGAAGGTATTTATACACTAATAAAGGGGGTTGTTGAGGGGAAGTGGTTAGGAGTTTGGGGGGGCTGTGTGAACAGAGATAATGGGGGGCATTCCGTTATAAAGCACCAATGCAACATTCTTTGGTGGCAACCTACAGGAGCCACTAAAGCAGGGTTCAGGGGTAGCTGGTCTGTGTGGGGGAGGGCAACGCTGGTAGCATTTGGGGGGGCTGTCCTGGAGGAAGCAATGACGGGGGGCTACGTAGAAGAGATCCTATGAGAAAGCAGCAGTTTAGGGGAGCGCCATGAAAGAGGGCGTTCTGGCCGCCGTCCTACGTGGGGGCGTTAATGGGACAGGTATCTGGGTGCTGTTATGGGGGCGCAGTGATGGGGGCCCCTGGCGTGGGCCCGGCGCAAGGAGCACTGATGGGGACGTTCTGAGGACCAGAGCGGGCCTGGGCGGGACCCCCCGCCCCCGTTGCCCCCGCGCCTCCAGGCCACGCGCCCCGTCACTCACCGGCGCCGGGGGTCTCCGCCGGGAGGAGGCCGAGGAGGCGGAGGAGGCGCCGCCGCTCTGGGGAGACCCGAGGGCCTGACCGGAAGTGCCGCCCCCACCCCTCCCTCCCCTCCCCGGCAGCCCCGCGCCGCCTGCCTGCCCGCCCGGAAGCGGAAGTCGCGCTCGTCTCCGAGGCGCCGGCGTGGAGGAGCGGAAAGAGGAGGCTGTGGAGGCTGTGGAGGCGGCGGCGGCGGCGGCGACCAGAAGAGGGAAGTGCGCCTGCGTGCTAGCTCGGGGGCGCAGGCAGGGAAAGACTAGCCCACTTCCGGTGGGCGAGCTGAGCAAGTGCGCCTGCGCCCTGAGCGCCGGCTTCTCGGGGCCCCGCCCACGCGCTCCGGTCATCGGGTTATGCCACGCCCCTAGCGCAAATCTCACGCTTAAGCCCCGCCCACCACCTGGATTATTATTTCAGAGATTAATTATAAACCCCGCCTGACGTCATAAAATACGTCCTCCTTGCCTTGGTTCCACGCATTTTCTCCTGTCCATCCTCAACTGCAAAACACTACTCTAAAACGCCACCTTTCCCTAAGCCCCGCCCCCCACCCCCCTCTAGACCAGGCCTCTCAGAGCTCTAGGCCAAGCCACGCCCCGCTTAATCTCCGCACCTCCTCCCTAGCATTCAAGCTCCACCTCTCTCACAATTTCAATGTGATCTTTGTGCCTCTAATCCTTTAGTAAAGGACTCACTTCGATCAGTGATTCTCAAATTATCGTCCAAAGTCCAGCAGCAGCGGCATCACCCCGGAAATGGTTAGAAATGGAAATTCTCAGGCCCCCTGCTCCAGACGTTCTGAGTCAGAGACCCCAGGGGTACAAACTTCCAATTATAAAATACATTAAGTCACAGTAATGTCCTCTACAGCATAGGGAATAGTCAATATTGTAATAACTGTATGGTGACAGATGGTAACTAGACTTAATGTGGTCACCTCGTAATGTATAGAAAATACCGAGTCACTATGTGGTAGACCTACACTAATATAATATTGTATGTCAACTATAATCCTGTAAAAAAATACCCAGCAGGTGATTCTGATGCAGGTTGAAGTCAGAACCACTGCTTCACCCATTTGACACTTCCTCTCATATCTCTGCAAAACTCGCCCGTCTCAGACCTACCCCCATCCTGCTAAGATTCCCCTCTCAGGGGTTTGCCTCAGAGTCACTCCTCTCTTTGGTACCCCTCCTTTCCCTTGGCCTGAATAGCAGGCATGCCCACCTCAGCATCTTAAGTTCAGTCCCACCCCTCCTGACACCTTGCCCTAGTTTCCCCCTTAAGGCCCTCCCCTCAGATATACTCTATCCATCCCTCTAAATCGCTTTCTGGCAGCAGCCCCTAAACCAATTTAAGCTCCATCTCAGTTCATATAGCCCTTCCCTAAACCACGCCCATAGTTCTCATCTACCTGCCCAATAAGCCTCACTCCTCAATGCCAGGTCCCTGGCTCCTGCTTCTTTAAGCCCCACCCTTACCTACCTAAGCCCTAGCAAAGTTGTCAGTTTTGCCCGCACAGATTAACTCAGTTTTTCCTTCCAAACACGGTCGGGAAAAAGAGATGGGGCAAAGTGATGAGTATAGAATTTCTAGAAATCTGGAATCATGTCCTAGAGTCACGTCTGCACAGAAAGCTCAATGTTTTAGAATGGATATTTAGCGGAGTGCTTTGGGGTCTGCTGGAGGTGGGAGAGGGGCCAAAGGCTACCCCCAAGCCACTTCTTTAGCACCAAGTTAATGAGGCACATGACATGGGGTTCCCCCGAATTCCACACACTCCCATGGGTAGTGTAGCAGCAGAAGGGCACTTGAAAGGAGGAGTAGAGGAGGGCCAACCCTAGTACCATCACTGAACACACAGGAAGCCAGAAGGCAGTGATTTATTTCCATGGCCCCTGCCTCCAAGGGCCTGTCAGTCCGGCAGAGGGTGGCAGAAGGCAGCAGGGCCCAGAAGTTTAGGTCCTCACCTGCAACCCCCTCCCACAACAGGAAGACCAGACAGAAGGGTGTCCCAGCCTCCCTACCCAGGCGCAGCACCAGCTGAACCCCCAGCTCTAAACCTGGTCCAGGGAGGGGTGGCCGGGGGTGTGGATCAGGCCAGCTCTTTCCCCTCTGGCTCTTCCTCCTCCTCGGCTCCTTCTGTCGCCAGGATGCTCTCGTGGTCCCATGGTGGCTCAGGCCCTGGGTCTGGGGGACACATGGGTTCCCCCATGGCCTCCGGATGCTTGCGTTTGGCATGGCGCCGGAGAGAGTTGGCCTCTGTGAAGCGCATCCGGCAGATCGGGCACTGGTAGGGACGCTCCCCAGAGTGGACTCGGTGGTGGTGAGCCAGCTCGCCCGCCTCACGGAAGCGGCGGGGACAGAGTGGGCAGCGGAAGGGCCGCAAGCCTGTATGGATATTGCAGTGTCGCCGCAGGTGGCTGGACCGCTTGAAGGTCTTGCCGCAGTCCTTGCACTCGTGTGGCTTCAGCTCCGAGTGCGAGATGCTATGGCGCTCCAGGTCCGAGAGGTAGGGGAAGGCCCGCAGGCACACCGGGCAGAAGTGCGGGGTCTTCCTAGGGCCAGAGCCCTCAGGCCCATCAGCTGCTGACCCTTCAGAGACTGTATAGGGCACACCCTGATCATCAATCAGCAGGAGGTCATTGCCATCACTGCTGCCCACCTGGGCTGTCACCCCCTGCACCACCGGGGGTTCCTGCCCTGACTTGGGGGGGCGGCCCCGCTTGCGAGGGAGGCTGGCCTTGAGCGTCTGAGTGGAGGAAGTGGCTCCTCCAGGACGGTCAGCCCGGCGGCCCCGGGGAACAGAAGGAGGTATGGCCAGAGGTTTCTCTTCCTCCCCGGGCAAAGGCGAAGGCAACGGGTCTGGGCTGGGGGTGTCCATTGAGCAGTGGAGGACTTGGGTCTGGGTACTGGAGCCGGGCTAAGAGGAGAAAGGGGGCAGCCGTCAGTGCAGGGAAGGCCCGGAGCAGCCCTTGTCCCCTAAGACCTTGCCCATCCCTCTGTCTGAGGTTCACAACCTGGGCATGGCTAATATTCACCTGGAAGCACAATTATAGCCATGCTGGTGAGTAAAAGAAATATGTGTGCCCCAGGCCTCCCTAACCCCTACGCCAAAGATCTCGAAGTTCAAGGTCAATTTGAGCCAAAATAAAGAAAAATCTTCAAGGGAGGAGAGAGTCCAACTGAGGGTACAGACCAGTATTGTGATCCTCAAAGCAGAGAGCCCATGAAACTCCAGAGCCAGAGAGGCCTCAAAAATGTTTTTGTCCAGCCTTCAGGACCAGAAGAGTAGGACTGGTCCCAGGTGATGTTTGACCCTGAGTAGTGGGTGAGAAAATATAGCGGAATCTAGCCTCCGGAGTCAGATGTTCTGGGTTTGATTCCTGAGTCTGTCACTCTGTGTGGCTTTGGGTAAGGTGCACACTTTTCTTAGCCTCAGTTAAGCCTTCTGCAAAATAGGACGGAGAGTTCCACCTACTCGCAGGGAACATGCCATGAGGATGATACGGGTAAAACGCTCAGTACACAGAGCACTTAGGAAACATTAGCCCTCTGAGTAAGGTCACAATCACCCTCATTTGGCAAATGGGGAAACCCAGGCACAGGAAAGCCAAGTCAGTTGCCCAAGCTCCGTGCTAGGAAGTGGTAGGGCCAAGATTCGAACCAGATCTCACTCGGACACAACGGCCCAGACCAGAGAGTAAGAAGAAAGGGACTCATGGGATGAGGGGACATCATAGGGTGCGTTGGTCCTGGATTTGAATCCAGCTCTGAGAAATGGATATACCAGGGTTGTCCGTTGGCACATAGTAAGGAATCAATAAACTACCGCCGCCACCACCACCACCACCATCATCATCAGAGCTGGGACCAAGAGACTGGGGTGTCACAAAGCGGAGTGTGTGTGGGGGAAGCACAGATGCCACTAGGAGCAGGGGCTGCAGGTGCCCCTGCGACCCCTTGGAACAGGCACACAGATGGAGGTCCAGAGGCGGGGCAACCGCTTTTCCAGGATTGCATGGTTTGCTCCTGGGGGGTGGGGGGGGTTGGACTACAACCAGGGGGGCCGAAGTGGTGCCCCGACCCTCGCCCGTCCACGAGCAGGCGCGCGCCCGCGGGCCCCCGAGCGCGCGGGGCGGGCCCTGTGGGGGCGGCCAATGAGCAGCGCCCGGCCTCGGACGGCGAGGGCCGCCAGGAAGGGGGTCTGCGCGCGCGCGCCCGGGCCGGCTCCACGGGGCGCGAGGTCGGCGAGCGCACGCCGCACCGAGCGCGGGCGCAGGAGCAGGTGTGGGGGGCGCGCTCCGAGAGCGCGCAGCCCCGGGCCTCCCCTCCCCTCCCCCCGCCCGGACCCCCGCCTCTCGGGTACCTCATTTGCATGTCGCCGGGGCTCGCGAGTGTGCGCGTGCGGGGGGCGACGGGGCCGACGCGTGGGAAGGGGAGGGGGCGAGGGGGCCCTTTCCCTCGGCGGCGCGCGCGCACGAGAGGCCGCCCCGCCCCTCGGAGCGGACGCCGGAGGCCCCGCCCACTCCCCCTCCCGACCCGACCCGACCCGCGCCCGCAGGGAACAAAGGGATGCACTGGGTCCTAAGGACCGCTCTCGTCAGCGCCTGCACTCCCGGCGCCCTCGCTTGCCCCGAGCGGGAAGTAACCCACCAACACATCCTAACCAGGTAGCAATGCCTTTCCTCCCACAAAGCACCCAGCCGGGGACTCAATAAACACAGGTACCGAAAGGACGAGGAGCGGGAAAATGGCTGCTCCTTCCCGTAACTAACATGGCGCCTGATAAGCTTCAAAGCCCCCTGGAGGGCTGAGGACAAGATGGAACCTGCTCTGTCCTCCTCTCTCGCTATCGCAGTCGGCGGACTCCGATTTCTCTTTTCTCCTGGTGCACCTCTAACATCCTACCCAGGAGGGGCCGGGCTCAGAGCTGCCCTCATCTGCGCTATCACCTGCCAGCGCCGGCACCGCCGACAGGAGCCGCACGCTGAGCTCGTTGCCCTTAGTCTGTATGGCGCCGGGGTCACCCCGAATCCCGCCCCTCTGCCTGCCCTCACCCAAGATGGCGCCTACCTGGCTTCTCTAACTGCTAGTGCTGGGAAAGGGACGGGAGCGAGGGAGAAGGGCGGGCGGCTGGGAGGGGGGAGGCCAAGAAGGCGGGAGAAAGGGGGAGTGCGGGGGAGCAGCCAGCCGAAGCGGAAGTCGAGGGGCCCCCCGGGTGGAAGTGACGCTGCCCCCGCTGCCCAAAATGTCGGCGCCCAGAGGGAGGTGTAAGTAATTAAAGAGGAAAGCCCACTGACTTTCCCGGCCTCCCGGGGCCGCCCCAGGGCTCCAGAACCCCCGCGCCGTACGAGCGAGGTGGACTCACCCGGCCGTGGGTCCCGCCTGACCTGCCCCCGCCCCGGGTGCCCGGGGCCGCACCTTTTAGGGTCAGGGGGGAGGGGCACAAAAGGCCGGCTCTAATGGCCTGGGTCTTCGAGTGGACTGGGGAGGGGGGCCGGCCCCGCAGGCGACTGGGTGGGGAGAAGGCGGGGCTTAGTGGCGACGGGGGCGGAGCCACGGCGGGGAGGAGCCCGGAGGGCGTGATTTGGAGTATAGATGGGCGGGGCTTGGTGGGAGGAGTAGGGCCGTGGGTAAAAACGGGAGGAGCTTAAGCATGGAGGTGGGGCTTAACAAAGGGGCGGGGCTCTGGGCCTGGTAGAAGGGCCCGAGGTTGAAGGGTCCTAGTTGGAGCTGAGTGGGGACCTGAGGCTCAGTGTGGAGTGGGAGGGGCCTAAGCTCTAAAGTAGAAGGGGTGGGTTTGTCCCGGGGTGCGGCTTAGAGAAAGTGGTGGGCCTAGTGAGAGGGTGGGATTTAGGTGTGTAATTTGTGGGGTCTTAGTCGAAGTAACAAATCTTTATACTACAGGTGAAATGACTTAGAGGGCCTGTGGCGGAACTCAGAGGAGCTGAGAAAGTGACAGGTTGGGTAGACGGGGTCTTGGAAAGGATGGGGCTTATTTCAAGGCTGAGTTTAAGGACAAATTGAGTGGGGTTTTGGAGGCGGGTCTTAGTGGAGAAGACCCGTGGGGCTTAAGGAGAACACTCGGAGGCACTAAGGGGACAAGTAATCAGAACAGTTGAGGACTCCTGTTGAGTCCTCCTTGCTGTGCACAGGCCTAAGTAAGCAGACAGCGCGCCTGGCCACAGTTCTGTTTAGTCTTCACCGCTATATTCAGAGTTAGGCTCTCCTATTATTCGTATTTTGAAAGTGAAGAGTTTCAGTTGGTTTTATCCAAGGTTCCAGGACTTTCATCTTCAAAGAACAGTGGGAGGAGCCTACAGGGGAGTGGAAGTGGCTTGCAAGGACTGGAAGAGGCTTCTGGAACTGTGTGAAGAACTTTGAAAGGAGTGGGAGGGGCCGGAACACGCGTGGGCGTGGCTTGGTCACAGTGGGCCGGGCTTAGGGGAGCAGGAGACTTCATAAAGAGGGGAAGACTTAAAAACACGCTGTAGGGTAGAGGCTACTTGGAGTGATTAGGCATCGGCAGATTGGCAGATGTTCAGCAGAAGGGTTTGTAGGGAAGTGGGCGGGATTTAAAGGCAGTGGGCGGGGTTCGGGTGGTGGGAGTGGCTTGGAGGTTATTGGTCAGGGCCCCCAGGGGACAGGTGGCAGTGTGTGACTTCCCAGAGCCTGATGGGGGAGGCCTAATGGGGAGGTGACTCCCACAACTTCCCTTCATGTCTCCCCTGCTCCAGAGAGCCCCCACCCGCTACTGCCCTCGCGCCACGCCACCATGGATGACGCTCCGCTGCCAGCGCCCCCTGTCCCTGCCCCAGCACCGCCCGCTGCCGCCCCCCGCGTCCCGTTTCACTGCAGTGAATGTGGCAAGAGCTTCCGCTACCGCTCGGACCTGCGGCGCCACTTCGCGCGTCACACTGCTCTCAAGCCCCACGCGTGTCCGCGCTGCGGCAAGGGCTTCAAGCACAGCTTCAACTTGGCCAACCACCTGCGCTCGCACACGGGTGAGCGGCCGTACCGCTGCTCCGCCTGCCCCAAAGGGTTCCGAGACTCCACCGGCCTATTGCACCACCAGGTGAGTCCTGCAGGCCGGCCCGGCTGCCTCCCGGCACTGGACTTGCCCTTGGAGGCCCAGCCCCACTCTGAGCAACAGAAACCTTTCCTCTTACGGATTGAAGGAAAACATTCATAGTATATTTACCCCACCTACAGGCTCCTCTCCTCTCCCATCCTCCTGCCCATACACGCCCCTTCCCCTGCACTCCAGCATCTGCAATGTTGTGTTTATCATTCCTTCGACGTTTTTAAAAAAGCAGATGTACCATGTATATACTTAATTCTTTCATTCAGTGAGTATCTATTGAGAGTTTTCCCTGCTCCAACACTGGGGTCGCCAAAGGGAAATCAATCAAGCCGGAGCGCTGGGGTAACTTAACATTCCATCGGAGGTAGACAATCAACAAGACAGCAAATACGCAGGCAAGAATGTTCTGGAAAGGGAGAAGTTAAATTCTCAGCAAGCTGATGTGCAGGAGTAAAGAGGGGAGCTGCAGGCCACCAGGGCAGGGCAGGGCAGAGTGATATTTGAGCTGAGACCTGACGTATGAGCAGAACCCACCGTGGAAAACAGCATTCTAGGCAGAGGGAACAGCACCTGCAAAAGCCGTAAGATGGGAGGAGCTTGGGTGTACAAGGAGATGGGAGCCCAGCCGTTGAGGCTCAGTGGATTGAGCAACTTCCTGTGGACTGAGGGGTCCTGGTTCCATTCCCAGTCAGGGCTCATGCCCAGGTTGCAGGCTCAGTCCCCAGAGGGGGCATACAGGAGGCAACCAGTCAATGTTTCTCTCTCACATAGATCTTTCTATCTTGCTCTCCCTCTCTTTCTAAAAAATCAATAAAAACATTTTTTTTAAAAAAGGAGAGAAAGGAGACTGTGCAGTTGGGTGGAGCGAGCCTGGGGCAGAGCAGAAGGAGATAAGGCAAAGGGCAGGCAGGGGCTGATTCACAAACACCTCCTCTGCTGAATTTTGTTCTGTGGGTCAGACACTCATCCTACAAGGTTAAGTAAAACCAGACATATCACTGGCCTTTCACACTTGTGCCCTCCTCTGTCTCACGGCATCTGCCTTAGGTCTGGACCTCACATCCTGGCTGTGGCCCCAACTTTCTACGTGGTATTATTACCTCCTGTCTCTCCCCCTCACATCCAACCTCTGTGACTTCCCCTCCCCGCCAGTTAAAAACCCCTAATCCTTAACCTGATGTGGCATTCACAGCCCAGCCCACTAGTAGGTTGTACTTCAACTGAGCATTTAATGAGCACCTACAGTATACAGGCTCCTCGGGGGAAAAGGAGAGAGACAAAACCAACAGTCCACTCCTTCTGTGGCCTCCCAGAGCCAAGAGTCTAGTGGAGGGTAACAGTCACTGAACAACCAGGTTAATAAATGTCAGATTGCAATCGAGACATGAGGACAGAGGGTTGCCGTATTCTAAAGGCTAATAACAGAGGGATGTGGAGTGATCCAGGTTGGGGATGGGGTCAGGATGGGTTTTCTGGGGCAGCACCCCCACTCCTTTGGGTTCCACACCCCTGGCAGATGTGACTAATCTAGAACTGCACTCTCTTATTTATTTATGTATTTTTATAGAGCGGGGGAGAGAGATAGAAACATCGATGACAGAGTAACATCAACATTGATTGACTGCCTCCCTTACACCCCCTGTTGGGGATCAAGCCTGAAACCCTGGCACATGCCCTGACCTGGAATTGAACTGGCAGCCTCTTGGTGGTGCATGGGTCAATGCTTAACCACTGAGCCACACCAGCCAGGCTAGCACCGCAGTCTGTTACCCGGTCTCAGAGGCCTCTCAGCTCTCCAGACAGATACTACCAAATCAGCAGGACTCCAGACTCAAAACCCGTGTCTGTTATTCCAGGACAATTAAATAAACCACAAGGGTCAGTATCAGTAGAGACCTGTGTAAGGCACCGTCTCGCTTGACGACCTAGCCACATTTCACATGCTCAACAGCCAGCCACATGTGGCTAGTGGTCACAGTTTTGGACATTACAGATATAGAATGTTTCCATCACTGCAGAAGGTTCTGGATGGTTCTGCCCTAGACGGTCCTAGAGCATTTACAGGAAAAGAGCCACCTCCTACCCCTTCTCTCCCTCTGCCCAGTATCCACTGGTTTAGAGGCTATAAGACATGGGAAAGTTTGTTGAGGCCATAACTTGTCCAAGTTTTCACAGAGAGTGGAAAGCAGAGCTGGTATTGAACCCATATCCATCAGTGCTCAAATCTTCAGTGCTTAGCCTGAGAAGTCCCAGTCTCCTAGGTGGGCTTGTTGGAAATGAGCAGTGGGAGGAAGCGTTCCCTAGCCTCGGGAACAGCACATGCAAAGGTCCTGAGGCTTGTCAATGTAAGAAACACTCAAACCTGTAGAGAATTTTTGTGAGTTTATTTGAGCCAAATTATTGACAATTGTGTAAATTCTCAACAGACTGAGAAAATGCTCCAGAGTATGGCAGTTTTGCATCATATTCTATACATTACAATCAATAGAGAAGATAGTAATGAGTTACATGAAACCCATTGGTGATAGATTGAGGGGGGCCTCTGGGACTGGATAAAAAAGTGGAGTGATAGACATACGCTGTTTTTACCTAGGTGGGTACTGGATAGTTAACAGTCAACAATTAACTCAATAACAATAACAATGAGGATTTGTGGTTTCCACCCAGGTGCATCAGTTGTGCCCTGAGGGGTCCGGAAAAGGAAGTTTCCAACATTCCAAAGCATGTTATCTTAGATGCAAAAAGACAATAAACAGGCTCAATTAGGTTGAAAGTAGACCTTTCTCAGGAAAGGTTTTTGCCTAGGGCATGACTACCCACCATTAACTGCTTTTAGTTAAAAAGTTTTCGTCTCAGACCATCCTTTGTGGTTACTTTAGGTCTGAGTTTGTGAGGCTGCCACGCAGGCCTTCCCTGGGCTTGCCCAGTTGTTTGTGGCCCCTTGTCATCCACGGGCTGGAGGGACGGAAGGCATGCCAGCACGGCCCAAAGCAGAGGAGAGGGATGTCACTGAGGCTAGATCATGGCCTTGTAGGCATGGAAGGAGGCATCCGGCCACCTCCCTCAGGGAGTCCAGGAATCTGCCCTGCGGGCTAGACCCTCAGCCCTGATACTGTGCCCTCCCTCCCGCCCTCCAGGTTGTCCACACTGGTGAGAAGCCCTACTGCTGCCTGGTCTGCGAGCTCCGCTTTTCTTCGCGCTCCAGCCTGGGCCGCCACCTCAAGCGCCAGCACCGCGGGGTGCTCCCGTCCCCGCTGCAGCCCGGCCCAGGCCTGCCGGCCCTGAGCGCACCCTGCTCTGTCTGCTGCAACGTAGGGCCCTGCTCGGTGTGCGGCGGTGCAGGGGCTGGCAGTGCAGAGGGCCCGGAGGGGGTGGGCCCCGGCAGCTGGGGGCTGGCGGAGGCTGCAGCTGCTGCCGCGGCCTCGCTGCCCCCGTTCGCGTGCGGCGCCTGTGCCAGGCGCTTCGACCAAGGCCGCGAGCTGGCAGCCCATTGGGCTGCACACACCGATGTCAAGCCCTTCAAGTGCCCGCGCTGCGAGCGCGACTTCAATGCCCCCGCGCTGCTGGAGCGGCACAAGCTGACGCACGACCTACAGGGCCAGGGCGCACCCCCAGCGCAGGCCTGGGTTGCGGGGGCTGATGCAGGGCCCGAGACCCCTGGAGAGGGTGGCACTGCGGGGGCAGGTGACGCCAGGCCGGCCTGGGACGGCGGGCTGCTCCTGGGCCGTGGGGGGGGCGGGGTGCCTGAGCTGGGGGGTCTGCTCCCCGAGAGCGGCGGGGAGGCCCCTGCACCGGCGGCCCCTGCAGAGCCGTCATCGGAAGACACCCTGTACCAGTGCGACTGCGGGACCTTCTTCGCATCTGCTGCGGCTCTGGCCAGCCACCTGGAGGCGCACTCGGGGCCGGCCACCTACGGCTGCGGCCACTGTGGGGCGCTGTACGCGGCCCTGCCGGCTCTGGAGGAGCACCGGCGAGCCAGTCACGGCGAAGGCGGCGGGGCGGAGGTGGCCACGGTGGCCCCCGAGGGGGAGCCCGCCTCCGGGGAGCCCGCCCCCAGCTCGGGCCGCAGCAAGAAGATCTTTGGCTGCTCCGAGTGCGAGAAGCTGTTCCGCTCACCGCGGGACCTGGAACGGCACGTGCTGGTGCACACGGGCGAGAAGCCGTTCCCGTGCCTCGAGTGCGGCAAGTTCTTCCGCCACGAGTGCTACCTCAAGCGCCACCGGCTGCTGCACGGCACCGAGCGGCCCTTCCCCTGCCACATCTGCGGCAAGGGCTTCATTACGCTCAGCAACCTCTCCAGGCACCTGAAGCTGCACCGGGGCATGGACTGACCACGTGGCCTCCCCCCTGGGGCTGGACTCAGGGCCTCCGGGGACCGCCCCGATCCAGACAGGGGCCCTGAGATGAGGGGACCCTGGCTGGAGAGATGGGGCCACCAGAAACCCACATAGGCCCGGAGCTGGGGAGTCTATAGAGACTCCTGAGCTTGAGGCCTCCCTGGAATTCATGCTGGGCACCCCCAAATCTACGGGCCCCTAAGCTGGGGGGACCTAGGAAAGAGAAATGGGCCTTCACAAGTACTTCTTACCTTAGGAGCCCCAATAGAAGATGGGCACCCCTCCCAAGGGAAGCCTGCCCTCTACCTGAGAACCATCATTCCCAATGACCTTGATCTGGAGAATGTGGGGAGAACCATGCCCCTAAATTCCCCTGGGTCCCCTCCAAATGCTACCCACCACAGTCACTGGCGCCCCTAGATAACGGATAGAGCCAGAATCTGCCTTTCCCCCGTTTCATTCCCTATGCCGAAGGAGGACCAGGGTAGATGCCCCCTGCCCTCGACCCACTCCCCAATTAGGCCTCCCTCCCCTACTGCAGAATGGGTCAACCCCAGTGATCTTCCCCGTCCCCAAACACTAGAATAGGCTGGTTGGAAATCCCCCCGCCCAGTAGGATGGACTGATCCAGATGCATACCCTCCTGTCCACTGGAATGGGCTGGCCCAGGTTGTGGCCTGCGCTGTGCCCTCCGTACAGTGAACAGGGCAGACACACACACCCTCTTTTTCATCATTCCCCATCCTGTGAACTCACCTGAGTGGGAGGCGGTAGCCACCGAGCTCTCCCACTCTGCTCCAGCACCTGTTGGTCTTTTCATATCTGTCAGTTTGTCTGTCTCTGTGTTCCACCCAACCCCAAGGGAAAGAGGGGGTTGGCGAGGGGGACCACCCCATGAGCCTCAACCTCACCCCCTCGTCCCAGTCCCCAGTGTCTCTAGGACCCCAATAAACCTCGTCCTGTCAGTCATGCCGTCTCACTGTCTGAACCTTGGCTGCAGGGAGTGGGATTTCGGCCTCCCTGACTTAAGACGGGCCCCCTAGAGAGAGACAGAGCCAGCCTCCCTCCCTCCAAGGACTTGGGAGTCTTTGAAATAGTGCAGGGCCCTTAAAATCAGAGATGGCTTAAGTCTCATCCAAATAGAAACCTACCCCCTCAACACAAGGTCCACCTCCACATATAGACATGACCCCTAGAAACAGACAGGCCCTTTTGAAACCATCAATCCCATAGGACTCCACCAAAAACCAAACTGTCACCTGGCAAGTTCCTTCTGGGAGGGAGAGGCCCTACCCGTTAGACACTACTTTCTAGGCTACTGAGTTAGTACCTTAGAAGCTACCTCCCACCTCAGATTACGATCCACCAGTCAGAACAGGCGGGCCTTCAAATTGTCTCCTGGGTTCAGAGCACACTCATACCTAGTACCCTCTGGCTGCCAGGCATTGTATCCCCTCTGGGGACCTAACTGAACAAAACAACTCCGGAGTTGGCAGTCTAGTGTGTGGCTGATGCAGTGTGGCAAAGAGGGATAAAGAAACTAGGCAATCCCAGAGGGTTGTGAGCACTCTGAAGGAAATGAGGTAGGATGTTAAGAGTGGCCAAGCTAAGCCACCTTAGATGGGGTGGTGAGGCTTCCTGAGCAGTGGCCTTTGACCTGAGGCCAAAATGGTGAGAAGGGAGCAGCCAGAGGATGACTGGTTAGGCCCAGGAAGGGCAGGCGGGAGCCCAGAGGAGGGAGGAATGAGACAAGGTGAGGAGGTAAGCCGGGGTCAGGCCGCACAGAGCCTGGTGGGCCAAGGTAGGCATGTCATTACTGTGCTTTCTGGCCATGGTGAGCAAGATGCTAAGTATGGGGGGATGTGACCACTCTTGCACTTTACGAGGACCCCTCTGGCAGCTGAGTGGAGGAGGAACTGGATAGGGGGCAGAGTGGAAGCAGCAGATGACCTCACTCCACCAGGGGAGAGGCCTGGGGGCCTGGACCAGAGTGACGGAGACAAAAAGGTAGATTTGGGATGAATTCCGGAGGTAGAATGAGTGTGCATGTGCAGGTGCGTGTGTAAGATGGAAAGGGAGGACTCAGGAGGGGCTGGTTGGGTGGTGGGTGCATTAAAACCAGAGAGCTGGAGGGGGACAAGTTTGGGCAGCAGCGGTGGGATCAAGAGTTCCATCCTGAGTGCAGATTTGAGGTGCCAGGGAGGTTGGCACACCAATAAGGCTGAAGCTGCGTGGTCTGCAATGCACCAATCCCACGGCCACGCACAGGGTTGCCCTAGAGCAGCGGTTCTCAACCCACAGGTTCCCAGCCTGTGGGTCGCGACCCCTTTGGGGGTCAAATGACCCTTTCACAGGGGTCGCCTAAGACCAGCAGAAAACACTTATTTCCGATGGTCTTAGGAACCAAGATACTGCTCCTCCATCTCTCCAGGCGGGGCCACCCACATGCAGATGCCCCCTCATACAACATGAGGAGCTGTATTAAAGGGTCACGGCAGTAGGAAGGTTGAGAACCACTGCCCTAGAGGCACATGCCCCAGAGGGACGCATGTTCCCCTGCACCCGGAGACATCTAACAATCTTCACAGTGGCCCAATGGACAGCCCTGAACTCGGAAGTGAAATGTCCATGGCTGTGGTCTGAATGTTTGCATCCCCCCAAATTCATATGTTGAAATCGAAATGCCTAAATGATGATATTTGGAGGCAGGGCCTCTGGAAGGTGCTGGGGCCATGAGGGTGGAGCTCTTGTGAATGGGATTAGTGCCCTTATAGAAGATGCTCCAGAGAGAGCCCTGGCTCCTTCCTCTATGTGAGGACTCAGCAAAAAACACTAGCCATGAACCAGGAAGGGGCCTTCACAGAAGGTGACTATGGTGGAGTATTAAATATATATATATATACACATATATATTTATTTAATATGTAAAATCAGCAATGGGATCAAGAGTTCCATCCTGAGATGGATATATATATATATATATATATATATATAATTTGAGAGAGAGAAAGGGAGAGGGAGAGAGGGAGAGAAAGAAACATCAATCAGCTGCCTCCTGCATGCCCCCTACTGGGGATCAAGCCGGAAATCTGGCGTATGCCCTGACCAGGAATCAAAGTGGCAACTTCTCAGTGCATGGGACAATGCTCAACCAACTAGCCACACCAGTCAGGGCATGGTGGAATCTTTTTTTTATTAAATTTGTTTTTCCTTTATTGATTTTAGAGAGAGAGGAAGGGAGAAGGAGAGAGATAGAAACATCAATGGGAGAGAATAGGGATTAGCTGCCTCCTGCATGCTCCCTACTGGGGATTTGGCCCATAACCTGGGCATGTGCCCTGACAGGGAATCGAACCAGCGACCTCTTGGTGCCTGGATCAACGCTCAATCACTGAGCCACACCAGCCAGGCCATGGTGGAGTCTTGATCCTGTGAACCATACATGTCTGTTCTTTACAAGCCACCTGGTGGTGGTATGTTACAGTCACCCCAACAGACTAAGACATCCATGAACAATACAGTGGACAAATAAATGGTGGTGTGTCAAATGAGTACAGATTCACACAACTGCACACATGAAAGTCACAGAGAAGTTAGACACAAGAAGCCAGGTACACAGAGTACAAAAACAATCAAGGCTAAACTGTTGTATTGTTTAGGATACATTGTGGGTATCAAACCAGTAAGGAAAGCAAGGAAAACGTTTTTTTCCGTAAAACTCAGAACAGTGGGGTTGGGAAGGTTAAGCTGGGAATGGGACACGCTAGAGTCTTCTGTGGGCTCTGGGGTGGCTGCCAACATTCCATTTCTTTCTTTTTTTATTTTTTTTTATTATTATTATTTTTTTATCCTCACCGGAGGACATTTTTCCATTTTTTGTTCAGATAGAGTGGGGGGCGGGGGGAGAGAGAGAGAGAGAGAGAGAGAGAGAGAGAGAGAAACATCGACATGAAGGGACACATCGAGTGGCTGCCACCGACACGACCAACCAGGGCTGGAGACAAATTGCAACCGAGGTACGCGCCCTTAGCGGGAACCGAACCCGGGTCTCTCTGTACCGCAGGCTGACGCTCCAACCGCTGAGCCAAACCGGCCAGGGCGATTTCTTTCTTTTTTTAAAAAAAATTGTATTTATTGACTTGAGAGAGAGAAACACCAATTTGTTGTTCCACTTATTTATGCATCCATTGCTTGATTATTGTATGTGCCCTGGCTGGGGATCGAACCCAAAACCTTGGCATATGAGGACAATGCTTTAACCAATGGAATTACCTGGCCAGGGCAACAATCCATTTCTTAACCTGGTGATCATTTTATAATTATTTGTTAAATTGTGCATTTGTATGGTACCCTTTTAATCTATGCATCCTGTGGATGCTCAACGTCAGAGATATTCCTCTCCATTCTGCCAACAACACCCAGGAACCTGGAGCCAGACTCATCCCTTTGGGGATAAAAAACACAAAAACAAAAAACCCACCTGCCTTGGAGAAACAAGAGCAGCCCCCTTAGAAACAGGCACCGCCCCAGGGACAAGACCCGCGGGGAGAGTTGAGCACCTGGAGAAGAGCCAGGGTTGCCATGGAGATGGCCTCAGGCTATGGAGTCAAGCATAGGGACCTCAGGAGGCCGAGGCTTCCGCCCACCACACCTCCACCTGCATCCTTTCTCTGAAGGCAGCACCGTTAAGCAAACAGGCGAAGCAAACCCCACCGCCCAGGAGTTTATATTCCAACGAGAAAAGAGGGAGAGGCAAGTACAACTGTGACAATAAAGGCAGAGTGCGGACCAGAGGGTGACAGGGAGGCTGTTTTGGCCAGATAGAAGCGAGGGAAATGTAGGAGAAGGGCGTTCCGGGAAGGGGAACGGCCTGTGCAAAGGCCATGAGTCCAGAAAGAACAAAGGCGGTGTGGCTGGAGCAGTATCCGCGAGGGAGGCCCCAAGGACCAGACCTGTAGCGTCTGTTAGGAGTGGGAGGGTGTCCAGGCAATAGTGACGAGAAGTGATCCCTGGGTGCACGAGACGGCCCGGGAAGCAGGAGAGCCAATGAGGAGGCAGTTGCAGTGGGACTGGCATCGGTAGCGCAGGTCTAAGCCAATCAGCGCCAAGGTCCCGCCCCTTGCCCGGAGCCTCGTTCCCAGCGCAGGGCGGCCCCGCCCAGGCCCCTCTCTCACCTGGACTCGCGCCCCGCCTCCTCCCCACCGCCGCCTGGGTCTCCCCTGCATCCGGCCGGGCCTCCACGTGGGTCCCACAGGAATTTCTCTAGAACGCTAATCGGATCATGTGACCCTTCAGCTTTAAACCTTTTCAATAGCTTCTCAGTGCACCAGGAATGCGTCCAGCATTCAGCCTGGGCCAGGAGGCCAGACACAGTCGCTTGCCCAGCTCTGGCCTCTGGCCGCCTTTGCTGCCCCAACCCGAGGCCCCCAGGCTTCCCCAACACACACACACCGCGCTGTTCTCTCCGCCTGAACTTTTCTTTCCCACCACCTCCATTCCTGAATTCGTTTCCCCCCAAAAAGTAAGCCTTTAAAATTTGGATGACAAAATAACAGGCACACCCCCTAGGTATATAAGTGTATCATGAAAAGAACCGAAAACAGCCGTTCAAATAAAAACGCAAGTACAGATGTCACAACAGCGCTATTCGCAACGGCCAAAGGGTAGAAACAACACAAATGTCCACCAACCAAGGAGTAGACAAAACGTGACCCAAACAATGAAATATTATTCAACAACCAAAAAGGAATGGATTGCTGACAGGCTACACAGTGGATGAATCTTGACAGCGTTGTGCTGAGTGAAAAGCCAGTCATAAAAGACTCTACTGATAAGAAATGTCTAGTCGGCAAATTCATAGAGGCAGAAGGTTGATTACTGGTTGCCAGGGGCTGGGAGGGGGAGGGAATGGGATGTGACTGCTTTTGGGGTGATGAAAAATTTCTGCAACTAGATAGTGGGTATGTGGC